ACAGGGTAAACATTGTATTACTGTAAGAAGAGAAGTTGTGATTTTAACAAGCCACATTTCAACAGAAGAACTGGGACTCTAAGAAAGTCTTTTACTACCTAAGCCATGTCCCTATGTGGTACATTATATAGATGATGAAAAAATGAGAGAGGCTGAAAAACCAGGACACAGGCTTCACTGGAGGAGAAGGACCTGCCGCTGTCTCACAGGGAACACGCCTTTGGAGGGGAAGAAAGGGGAGGGATTGGGGCTTTGGGCGCTTGGCACACGCTGATTGGTGGTTTCATATAAAGCACATGATCAGGAATCAGGGGCTGAGGGTATGTGGCAGGTGCTGATTGGCGGCTCAGTGTCCAGGCCATATAAGGCGCCTGGTCAGGTGCTCAGGAACGCCCAGGCCCCAGGGGCAGGTTAGGTCACCCTCCGTCCACCAGGTGGGGGAGGGAGGATCTACCAGTTGACCGCAAAGAAACATCCAAAGCTGTAGAGAATTTTTGAGTTTATTTGAGCCAGACTGATGACAATTGCCAGGAAGCAGTGTCTCAATGGATTGAGAAAATGCCCGAGAGAATCAGTTTTACAGGCTTAGGCCGTGACTACCTGCCGGGACTCACTCTTAGTTAGGAATTATTTTATACATTAGAGTCACAGGAGACATGATGACAGATTAGGAGGCGGGAGAAAGTAAAGTGGGGAGATCTCTGCGGTTGAATAAAAAGTCAAATGCAGAGCCCCAGGGGGCGGCCCCGGTGGCTGAGTATCACCCCTGCACCCAGACGTGGGCTCTGGTCGGGGTACATGCTCGGGTTGCAGGCCCGACCCCCCTAGGGAGAGTACAGGAGGCAGCAGACTGATATCTCTCATCAATGTTTTTCTCTCCCCCGCTCAAAGATCAATAAAAACTGCATTTTTTAAAAAGTCAAATGAAGAGACACTTCTTTTACATGGGTAAGAACAGGCTAGTTAACACATTACAGCACGGAGATGGTATGTGGGCAACAATGAGGGGGTCTGTGGCCTCACGCCCTGGTGGGAGGTTGTGCCTGCCACCAAGGGGCCTGGGAAGGGGATTACTCTGACATTCCAGGGAAGGGTCATCTGAGATGCACAAAGGCCATAAATAAGTTCACTTTCTTTTTTTTTTCCCATATATTTTATTGATTTTTTTACAGAGAGGAAGATAGTTAGAAACATGAAACATCGATCAGCTGCCTCCTGCACACCCTCCACTGGAGATGTGACCACAACCAAGGTACATGCCCTTGACCGGAATCGAACCCAGGACCTTTCAGTCCGCAGGCCGACGCGCTATCCACTGAGCCAAACCGGTTTCGGCCACTTACTTTCTGTCTCTGAGGTTGTAGGGCCTGCCTCACAGACCTCCCTGCGCTTGTCAGGTTTGGCACGTGGCCCCTTTTCACCCACAATATGAACAGCAAGTGGACTAATCACACTTTGATGTTCAAAGCAAAAACTAGCCCTTCATACGGCACCAGAAAACAAACTGGGAGGAAGGAGCTCCACAGACAACTAAGTATAAAGACCCACAAGCTGTTAGTGGGAGGGAACCATCTGGGGTAACGTTTCTATCGATGAAGAAAAGGTTTGTTCCTTTGGTAATCAGTTGAGTGCCTATTACGTGGTAAGGACGGGAAAGCAGGAGGTGCGGCTGGGGCTGGGAGAAGGGGGCTAGGACTGTCACCATGGGGCAGGGAGAGGAGACCCAGGGCCGCCTGTAGCTCGCCACCAAAACCCTGCAGAGTCCCCGAGAGCAGGCATCCGATGTGGAAGGGCTGTGGAATGGGGTGGGTGTGAGCCCCGGGCTCTGGCCCCAGCTCAGCCACTAGCCAATCAGATGGCTTTGGCAACCATCCTGAAGGGTGTTACAGGTGCTCTCTTCAGTTTTTGTTATTTTTTAATGTTTTTGTTGATTTTTTTTAAGAGAGGGAGAGGGAGGGAGAGGAGAAACATCCATTGGCTGCCTCCTGCATGCCCCTTACTGGGGGTCGGAAACCCAGGCGTATGCCCTGACCAGGAATGGGATGGGTGACCTTTCCGTGCGTGGGATGTCCAACCAGCTGAGCCCCTCCATCACGGCCTCCTTTGGTTGATAAAAACAAAGACACTGCCCTGGCTGGTTTGGCTCAGTGGATGGAGCATAGGCCTGTGGACCAAAGGGTCCAAGGTTCGATTCCAGAAAGGGCCCCCTGGCCTGTGCCCTGGTCAGGGCTCATGGCGGAGGCAACCAATCGATGTGTTTCTCTCACATTGATGTTTCTCTGTCTCTCCCTCTCTAAAAGTTAGTGGAAAAATATCCTCAGTGAGGATTAACAACAACAACAAACCCAAAACACAGTAAAAACAAAGACTTCTCTTTCTGCAGTACATCGTTAGCCAACACTCTCTGACCAGACACACGTTCATATTATCCTAACACCCAGTATAGTGCCCGGTTGTGGGCTTCCTTTTCACTCCTATCGCAGAAAAAGAACAAACATGTTTTGGATTCCTTGTCTTAGGGGGAGTAAACACATGGCAGGGAATAAGTGTGACTTTTTCTCATACACCCAGAGTGGGGGCCCTTTTATTTTTTTAAATATATTTTATTGATTTTTTTTTTTTTTTTTACAGAGGAAGGGAGGATAGAGATCTAGAAACATCGATGAGAGAAAAACATCAACCAGCTGCCTCCTGCACACCTCCTACTGGGGATGTGCCCGCAACCAAGGTACATGCCCTTGACCAGAATCGAACCTGGGACCCTCCAGTCTGCAGGCCGATGCTCTACCACTGAGCCAAACCGGTTTTGGCCCCTTTTATTTTTAAAAAAACCTTTACAGTTGTTGAACCCAGTGTTTAGATAAGAAGTCCCCCCACAGGGGTCCATGGATAGGTTTTAAGGGAGAGTTCAGAAATACCCCAATGCAGACCAGACGGGAATGGCAAGAAATATTCCAGGTGATGAATAGCAAGAACCTATAGGCAAAAATACTCTACCCAGCAAAGCTATCACTCAAAACCGAAGGCCAGATAAAGAGCTTCACTAGTAAAAAAGAGCTAAAGGAGTTCATAACCGCCAAACCAGAATTATATGAATTGCTGAAGGGGGTTCTTTAGGAAGAGGAAGAAGATAAAGATAAAAATTACGAACAACAAATACGTCACTATCAACAGGTGAATCTAAAAACCAAGGGAATTAAAAAATATGATGAACAATATTAACTGGTGAATATAATAGAATCAGAGGTATGGAAGGGGAGTGGACTGACAATTCTCGGGGAAAGGGGAGTGGGGGGTGCGGGAAGAGACTGAACATAAACTGTGCACCTATGGATGAGGACAATGGGGGGTGGGGAAAGGGCAGAGGGTGGGGTGGGAACCTGGAGGAGGGGAGCAATGGAGGGGAAAAAAAATGAGGAACATTTGTAATAATACGAACAATAAAGATTTATTTAAAAAAACAAAAACAAACCACCCTGAAATCATAGGCAAACTGGTTTTCAACATGCACATACGCACTTTTTTTTTTTTTCATTTTCAAGATTTCGTGATCCCCAAAAACCACCAGGGAGCCGAGTCCGATGCAACAGCAAAAATACTTGTATTCGGACCAGAGCTCTGTCCCACTCACACCGCCGGCGTGGAGGAAGAGAGCCAGCTTCACAGATTAAAGGGTTTTATAGGGGTCTGGGGGAGGGTGGTGATGTCACTGCTTTGGCTGACCCCGATTGGTTGGGTGAGGGCTGGGGTCCAGTTACACAGTGATACAAAATGGAGGATCAGGAGCTAGCCCTGCCCTGCCCCACAGTACAAAATGGAGTCAAGAGTTAGCCCCACCCCGCCCTCTCATTCCCCCCTTTTCTTGAGACTTATGGGCCCCATCTGCACTTCGGAAGGGTGTACAAGTCCCTCCTTCCCGGTGCCCTGATCTGACATTTTGGGGGGTCCACCAGATGAGTCCAGTGGAGACACAAGACTCCACGGCGGGGTCGGGAGTGTCCAGGGCAGAAGTGAGTCTTTCCCCCCGAACCAGTGTGTGAGGTATGGGGCTCCTGCAGCCGGAGCGGCCACAAACAGAATTTCTGGTATCAGGCAGGTTCAGTACGCCGTAACTTGAGCTTGAGGGGGTTGTCTCAGTCTCGGTTGATGCTCCATCAGTTGGAGAAGTCTTCCTGGATCGCAGAGGAGTCAGCTGGTCGAACATGGGTGTGGTGGACCCAGGTCGCAATGCTGTCCACTTTGAGGGCGGTGGGCGTGGTCAGCACCACGATGTACGTTCCTTTCCAACGTGGTTCAAGCATCTCCCGGCGGCGTCTTTTGACAAAGACCCAGTCTCCCGGCCGGTCCGGCCGGTACTGGTGGGGCGTTGGGATCGGGCCAGCCTCGTAGATGGCCTGTAGGCGTGGCCAAATGTCCTCGTGCGCCCTCTGGAGCCCTCTTAAAGAAAAAGACATTTCTTGGTTGTCAAATTCAGTTAGCAGTTCTGCCTTAAGATTGGGAATGATAGGCGGGGGCCTACCAAACATAATTTCATAGGGAGTGAAGCCTAGGGTATAGGGTGAGTTCCTCTCCCGGTAAAGAGCAGAGGGAAGGAGAGCCACCCAGTCCCCGCCAGTCTCCATGGTTAGTTTAGAAAGCGTCTCCTTAATGTTCTGTTCATTCTTTCTACCTGTCCTGAGCTCTGGGCCTATACGCACAATGTAATTTCCAATTTGCCCCTATGGCCTTGGCTACTGCCTGTGTTACCTGTGAGATGAAAGCCGGGCCGTTGTCCGATCCTATCACAGCTGGGAAACCGTACCTGGGTAGAATGTCCTCCAGTAGCTTCTTAGTGACCGTCTAGGCTGTTTCATGCTTCGTTGGGTATGCTTCTACCCATCCAGAAAAGGTGTCTACAAAAACTAGAAGGTATTTATAGCCATACTTTCCCGGCCTTACCTCAGTGAAGTCAATCTCCCAGTGCACCCTGGGCTTAGTTCCTCTGAGCCAGGTTCCTTTTCCACTGGACCTGGCCTTTGCATTTGTAAGCTGACAAGTTTTACAGGCTGATACAATTTGATCTATTCTGGCGTCCAGCTGGTGAATTTTGATCTTAGTATGCCCGACCAGATCCTTTAGTTTCCGGGACCCTAGGTGAGTCGATCGGTGTATGTGTTTCAACATCGGGATCCCGAGCTGGTCTGGTAGCAGGAGCTTCCCGTCTGGAGCATACCACCAGCCTCTGACGTCCTTGTTCGTGGGGTGGCTTTTGATTCGCTGTAGTTCTTCCTGGGAGTATCTGGGCTGATCCGGCAGGACTGGGTTTGCTGGGTCTGGCTATTGCAGGGCCAGTCTGGGGACTGCAGTGAGGGCTACTTCCTTGGCCACCTGATCAGCCTTCTGGTTGCCCCTGGCTACAGGATTGTTGGCTTTCTGGTGTCTTGGGCAGTGGATGATGGCTAGCTTGGCTGGGAGCCATAAGGCAGCTAGCAAGTCGAGTATTTCTTGTTTATTTTTTATAGTCTTTCCTTCTGCAGTCAACAGCCCTCTCTCCTGATAGATTGCCCCATGGATGTGAGCTGTGGCAAAGGCGTAGCGGCTATCTGTGAAGACACTGAGTCGTTTCCCGGCCCCTAGCGTCAATGCCTTTGTCAGAGCGATGAGTTCTGCCCGCTGGGCTGACGTTCCAGACGGCAGAGCCTCTGCCCATAAGGTGTCAGTCTCAGTTACTACTGCCGCGCCCGCGTACCTGTGCCCGTTTCTCATGAAGCTGCTCCCGCGGGTGAACCATGTGGCCTCTGCATCTGAGAGGGGCTGGTCCGTCAGGTCCTTCCGGAGTCCATGCAGCTGTTCCAAGATCTCGGCACAGTCATGTAGCAGGGCGTCCAGGTCAGGGTCAGGCAGGAGAGTTGCGGGGTTGAGGGCTGCACTGGGGCGGAACCGCACTCTGGGAGGGTTGAGGAGGAGGCTCTGGTAGTGAGTCATGCGCGCATTACTCATCCATCTATCAGGTGGCTGTTTTAGAACTCCCTCAACCGCATGGGGGGTTGTAATCCAGATTTCCTGCCCTAGAGTTAGCTTGTCAGCATCCTTCACTAGGAGTGCTGTTGCCGCAATAATCCTCAAGCACGGTGGCCAGCCGGCAGCCACTGGGTCTAGTTTCTTAGACAAGTAAGCTACTGGATGGCCTGAGGCTTGAGTCAAAACTCCCTTCGCTACCCCTTTGCGCTCGTCTACAAAGAGGTGGAAGGGCTTGGTAATGTCTGGCAGTCCCAGAGCCGGGGCGTGTAGGAGGGCCTTTTTCAATTGGTTAAAGGCCGCCTCCTCTTTCTCTGTCCATTCAAATGTCTTCCCCTCTCTGGTAGCTTCATACAGGGGCCTGGCGATCTCAGCAAAACCCGGAATCCAGAGATGGCAGTAGCCAGCCGACCCTAAGAATTCCCTCACTTCTCTTCGAGAGGTGGGTGTGGGGATCTTTAGGACAGCTTCTTTTCTGGCATCTGACAACCGCCGCTGTCCGCCCTCCAAGATGTACCCCAGATAACTCACCCTCTCTCTGCATATCTGTGCCTTCTTCGCAGATGCCCGATACCCCAAGGCCCCCAGGGTGACCAGCAGGTCTTGGGTTCCTCGTTCACAGTCCTCCGCTGTGTCGGCAGCAATCAGGATGTCATCTACGTACTGTAGGAGGGTGAGGCCAGGGTGCTCCCTTCTGTACTCACCCAGATCCTCGTGTAGCGCCTCATTAAAGATGGAGGGCGAATTCTTGAACCCCTGAGGCAGTCGTGTCCAGGTGAGTTGTCCGCTGTAGCCTTCCTCTGGATCATGCCACTCGAAGGCAAACAAGGGTTGGCTCCTGGGTGCTAGCGGCAGACTGAAGGAGGCGTCCTTTAAATCTAACACAGTATACCAGACTCTGGAGGGCACCAGGGAGCTCAAGAGAGTGTACGGATTGGGGACAGTTGCGTGTATGTCCATGACTCTTTTATTTACTTCCCGGAGGTCTTGCACCGGTCGGTAATCATTTGTGTGAGGCTTCTTGACCGGCAGTAGGGGGGTGTTCCAGGCAGATTGGCAGGGAACCAGCACCCCTAGACTCCGCAGTCTCCGGATGTGTAGCTGAATTCCCTCCCGGGCTTCCTGAGACATGGGGTACTGTTTGATCCTTACCGGACCTTCTCCTGGCTTTAGCTCCACTAGGACTGGAGTCCTGTGAGCAGCTAGTCCTACCCCTCCTGTCTCTGCCCAGGCTGTGGGGAATTCTCGTAGCCATCTATCCATGTTATCCCCCCTTGGGAGCGCCTCTTGGTGGAGGCGGTACTCATCCTCTAGCCTCAGAGTCAGAACGTGGATGTGGGGGCCCTCGCCATCGGTGACCTGAGGCCCCCCTTGTCTGAAAGTTATCTGAGCTCCAATCTTGGTCAGTAAGTCCCGTCCTAACAGTGGGTAGGGGCATTCCGGTATTACCGTGAAGGAGTGGGTTACCCGGCCAGTCCCTAGGTCCACTGTTCTTCGGGTAGTCCATGAGATCTTTACTCGGTCCGTCTTGCTCCCCCTCACGCTGTCCCTCTTCGGACATTCTCGAGCCCAATGCCCTATCTTCTTGCAGCATGCACACTGATCCTTCTGCAGTCTCCGCCTCCCTTCCCCGGAGGTCTCCTTACCCTTCTTTCCATCGCTCACAAGCTGTCGGAGGCGGAGGTCCAGTTTCTCGGGGGAGTCCGTAGTGGTATCCAACAGGATCCTAGCCAGGTCTCGGGTCTGCCTGCGAGCCTGTTTATCTTCAGGGGGCTCCCGGTTATTGTACACCTTTTCAGCCACCGCCAACAAGTCCTGCAGACTCTTCTCTCCCAGCCTGTCTATTCTTTGCAGTTTTCTCCTAATATCTGCAGCAGACTGGTTTACAAAGGCTATAACGACAGCCGCCTTGCTCTCAGGAGCCTCTGGATCCATGGGGGTATAGGTGCGGAAGGCCTCCATGATCCGCTCTAAGAATGCTGCTGGAGATTCATCTCTCTCCTGCTGAACGCTCCCTACCTTAGCCAGGTTAGTCGGCTTCCTGGCAGCCGCCCGGAGACCCCCCATCAGAGCCTGGCGGTAGACCCGGAGCCTCTCCTTACCTTCTGCTGTGCTGACATCCCATTCAGGCCTAGTCAGAGGAAAAGCGGTATCTATCTGAGCCTGGTTGGTGGTAGGATTCCCATCCACGCCTGGAACCAGCTTCCGGGCCTCATTGAGGATCTTCTCCCTCTCCTGGGTGGTGAACAGGACATGCAAGAGCTGCTGGCAGTCGTCCCAGGTTGGCTGATGGGTGAAAAGGACAGAATCTAACAAATTAATAAGCCTCGCTGGCTTCTCAGAAAACTCAGGATTTTGAGCTTTCCAATTAAAGAGGTCGCTAGTGGCGAAAGGCCAGTAGTGATGGGGCTGATCGCCCCTCTCATCTGGGGGACCAGTGGCTCGCAGGGGTAAAGTCTTAACAGTGGAGTCGGCGACGGAGGCGAATGGTTCCCTCTGGGCTCTTTGTCTGGTATATGGCGGGCTTCCTGCTCTTTTCGTGGGGTCTGCTTCCCTTAATGGAGGAGGGTCAGGTCCCTCCTCCCGCGTCCCAGGGAACTGATACAGGGGAGGAAAACTTAATTCTTCTTCAGTTCCCCCCTGCAAGGCAGAGGAGGGGGGAGCTGATGGCAGGGGGATTTTCTGCTCCTCCGTCCTCTCCGTTCCCATTAAGGCAAACATAGGTTCCAGCTCCCAGGGGCGAGGAGCCACGAAGGGCTTAAGCCAAAAGGGTGGGTTCTCCACAAGGTCCTGCCACGTGATAATGTACGGGAGCTGATCGGGGTAATCAGTCTTGGGTCGAGAGAGGACACTCCGAACCCGGCGAATGGTAGGGAGATGGAATGTTCCTTCTGGTGGCCATCCGACATTGAAAGCTGGCCACTCTCTAGAACAACAAGTCTGCCATCGGCCCTTCCGGACCTCCACACCACAATTGTTAGCTCTTTCCTCTACTTCCTGAAAATGATCAATCACAATGCTCAAAGGAGTAATCCGAGTCTGTCCCATAACATCCACACAGCGAGTCCACAGAGTAACACAGAAAATCACAACCACCAGCAAGAAGAGGGCGCCCAACATCAACATTTCAACTCCTTAGAAGAAAAACCAGCCGTGCGGCCGGCGGGCCCGCTTCTCCTGGGCACCACCGAGGCCGGCCCTCCCGGCTCGGCGGCCAGTCGCAGAGGACTCCACGGCCAGGCTCAGCGCGAGCTCCGACCAGACGCCGTCCCGGCTCCACTCACGTTTCCCGGGCCGCGGCCGGTCCCTCTCGGCCCCGCAGCACCCGGCCCGGGACACCGCGAGCCTCAGCCACGCTCACGGACGGACCGTGCTCTCCCGAACGACTCACAAGTCCCACCCGCGACCGCCCAGCCGCAGGAGCCGCACGCGAACGCCTCAAAACGCGCGCGGTGGCCGCCACGTGACCAACGTGCCGTCCAATCCGGCCGCGGGCGCCGGTTCCCGGCTGAGGCCGGCGCGCGCATGCGTGGGACTCGGACGCTTCTCCCGGCGACGGTTCCCTGGTGCCTGGGCGCATGCGCCGCGCGACGCCCCGCCCCCGCCGAGCGCGGCCCGCCGAGCGGGGCTGCCGCGCGCTTGCGCCATAGCCGGACGCGGGCGTTTCTTTCCTCCCTTTTCGAATTGGTCCGAGGCGGCCTGGCGTTACAAAATGGCGGCCTGGAGCGCGCTCGGCGCCGTTCCCCCGGCGGTCTCCGGCTGAGGGGGCGGCTCCGCTCGCTGCCGAGCGCCGACAGACGAGCCCCTGGGGGACATGGTGTGTGAGACCCCGGGCTTGCTGGCCTCCGAGTGCTTCGAGGATCCCCGCGCCCCGGGAGCGGCCAGGTGCGCTCACCCGGCGACCGGCCGCCGCCGCCGCGCCCCGGAGCTTCGCCGTGCCCGCCGCCCAGCGAGTTCCGCGGCAGCCGCCCCGGAGGTGAGAGGCTGGGCAGCGGGGGCGGCGGAGGGGCCTGGGGGCCCCCGGTGCGGAGCCCGGGCCTGGGAGCCGCTGGACCGGGGTTCGGGCCTGGAAGGGGTCCTGGGACGGAGGCGCTGAGGGAAGCCCCCGGGCGGGGGAGGCGCGGGCCGCGGGGCCCGCGGGCGGGGCGGTGACCGCGGCCACGCCATCGGCTGTTTGTGAAGCGGCGCCGGGGCCTCAGGGAGGCCGGCCCGGCGGCTGCGCCCCGGCGGAGGCCGGCGGCCGGAGCGGCAGGGCTGGCCCGGCGTGGCCTCTGGCTTCTTCCTAGCGCTTCCTCCCGGTACTTGTGTCCCCTCGGGCCCCTCACCGGCCTCTCCTCGCCCCCTCCACTCTCTCTTTGGCCTAGGCCCCCCCTCCCCGCCCTTTTAAAAAACATCTAATGGTTTCAGAGAGGGAAGGAGGGAGAGAGAGAGCTAGGAACATAAATGGTGAGAGGAAAGAATCACCGATGGGCTGCCTCCTGCACGCCCCGCGCGGGGGAAGGAGCCCGCCACCCAGGCTGTGCCCCGACCGGAAGCGGAACCGTGACCTCCGGTTCCTAGGTCGACGCCCAGCCACCGAGCTACTTGGGCTGAGCATTGGCTTCTCTTGTTATTGCGATACTGGAACATAGATCACCCCGTACTCTGTTCCCTTTTTAAAGAAGCAATTAATTTTTTTAAAGTTGATTTTTAGGGAGGGAGGGAAAGAGGGAGGAAGAAAGAGAAAGACATCCACTTTATATATTTTTTTGCCAACCTGTCTCCTTTTTTAAGAAATAAATCTTTAGTGTTGAAAATATTACGTATGTCTCCCTTTTCCCCCCTTGTTTGTGCATTGTATGCATTCCACGGCTGCTTCCTGTATGTGCCCTGACCAGGGCCGGAAGCGGCAGGCTGGGTACCGGGGGCAGCGGTACCCATCGGAGCTACCCCCAGGGCTAGAAGGAAGCAGTTTCCTCTTCCGCTGGCGGTTCTGTCCCCGGGTCTGACCCTTGTTCTCTTTTTCCTCCGGACACTGCACTTGCAAGTGTGGTCAGACCTGTTTTCCGCCCAGGGTAAGCCGATGTCGCCGGACACGTGTCCTCCAGTTACCAGGACGCTTCCTAGGAATCAGTCCCTCACGTGGTGCCTGGTCACCGCCAGCCCCGGCGCTTTCGGAGTCCCGGTACTCCGCCAGCACACCAGGCTCCAGGCGCAGCCTCGCCCTCAGTGCTTGGCAGGGATGCTTTACTCCTCATCTTGCATCCAAAGGAAAATGATTATCTGAAGTGTCATGCTTTGAGACAACATATGAATTGATTAAAATATATCTTAAAGTTTGGTTCATAATTCAAGTAAATACTCTTTTTTTCCAAGGAACTTTAAAGTTTCAGAAGAAAAAGTATTTTATAGCCTTTGCTTCTAATAACATTTGTTTCTTTAATATTTATTGAGCCCTTCCTCTGTTCCAGGCATTATTCTTAACTAAGTTTTTTGTTTATCTCACTTAGTTTTCATAGCTCCCTGTTCTGCCTATGAAAAAACGGGGGCACAAAAATGAAACAGCTTGCCCACGAAAACGGGAAGACTGCGTTTCCAGCATCTTCCTGTGGTATTTCCCAAGTCTGTGTGTCCCAGATCCCTGACTTAGTAGCTGGCACACCCGGCGTGAGCTAGGCAGGCTCTAGGTGTGTGAGTACAGCCAGCACCCAGAACAGACCTCTGGGTAGGTCCTGACGGGATGACTGCGGGAGAATGAGAGCAGCTACATTTAGATAGTTTCGCTGTGCCCATTATGATTATCCACTGTGGGTATGAGAGGTTAAATTCTTTATCACAGTTTTTGTATTTTCAGCTCCACCTCCTTTTCCTTTTAATAACTTATTAACAGGTAACAACAATAGCTATTTCAACTTCTCACCTCTCCTGCCCTCTGGTGGGAGCGTTAGTTACTGAGCAGCAAAAGGCCAAAAGAATGCAGGCAGACCTGGCCTCTGGACAGTCAGGTTCAGTGAGGAAGTCTGTGTAAAACTATATTGATCTTGTTTGCATTAGTAGCCAGACTTGACCAGTGTTTGTGGGAGACATTAAGAAGGGACTCAGATATTATTAGGATGCTGTTGGAAGCTGGAGCCCCTATGTAATCACAGGGCGGGTTTTGGAGGACTTGGGGGTGTCATCCCGCGATGTTTATTTCATAGACATTAAAAAGCAGTAGTGATGTGTGAGTTTGTATCCCAGTGAACGTGAACTTCTAGGAGCTTACGGGGTTGTGTAGAGGGCACACCAGGGTGGAGAAGGGTTATCAGAAAGGTGTGGCCGGTCCCCGAGGGAACCCATGGGTGAGGTGCGGGGCAGAGGAAGAGGGTTTCTTGGCCCGTCGGGCTGGGAGTTAGCCGCTCACAGTGGACTCTCACTGACTGCTTTTGTTTGATAGCAGAGGATATGCTGTGGGATCAGAAAGCAGATTACAGAGGGCAGGTGCCAGCACCCTCTTCCAAGATAACATTGCCTGCCCCATCCCGCCCCCGCCATGGTGTCAGGAACTGAGCTCCTGGCTTACTTTTGAGAGGGTTATAAAATCTCAGAATGTTACACTTGTAAATGATGTCCTATTTTAGCAATATGCAATTTGGGGTAGTTAAATGTTCAGTCTTGGGAAATGTATTTATACCAACGTCTGTAGCCTAAACACGAGGACTTATGCTATGAACTTTTGACCAATGTCTTATGAAAACTCCTACTTAAGCATGAACTTCCCTGGATCATCTTGAAGAGAATTTTATTTATTTTTTCAATATATATTTTATAGATTTTGTACAGAGAAGGAGAGAGATAGAGTTAGAAACATCGATGAGAGAGAATCATCAATCAGCTGCCTCTTGACACCCCCTACTGGGGATATGCCTGCAACCAAGGTACATGCCCTTGACCGGAATCGAACCTGGGTCCTTCAGTCCCCAAGCCAACGCTCTATCCATTGAGCCAAACCGGTTTCGGCTTGAAGAAAATTTTAAATATTTAAAATGTTTTGTCTGTAGCAAGGCTATAACTAGCATAGAATAAGTTAGTTAAGCACTTCTTGATTATATAACTTTCTTTCAAATAGAGTAGGTTCAGTGCTGTTCAGAAGACCTAACTGCTTCCTCAAGTAATCCTCTGTTGGATTTGAAACAGTAGGAACCTAAGGACACCTTTGTAAAATTCCGTTAAAGCAGTTCTCAGTGGAATGTTTTCTATCTCATTTCATGCTAGAGTGAATTTTGAAAATTCTTTGTAAGAGTGATCTCTTGCTGAAACCGGTTTGGCTCAGTGGATAGAGCATCAGCCTGAGGACTGAAAGGTCCTGGGTTCGATTCTCATCAAGGTCATGTACCTTGGTTACCGGCATGTCCTCTGGGGGTGTGCAAGAGGCAGCTGATGGATGTTTCTCTCTCATTGATGTGTCTAACTCTCTATCCTCTCTCTTCCTCTCTGTAAAAAAAATCAATAAAATATTTTTTTTTGGGGGGGGGGGGGAATAAAAGAGTGATCTCTTGGTCCAGAAAAGCAAATCTTGTACTCTTTTTACTTTCAGCTTCGAAAAAATGGCCAAAAGAATTGCTGAGAAGGAATTGACCGATAGGAACTGGGATCAAGAAGACGAAGCCGAAGAGGTAAAAAGTAATTTTCCTAAAAGTGATTTCGTGCTGCTTCCACATTTAAACTGGGGTCCTCGTGAAGACTGGAAAAATGAAAAGCCTTTTTAAGACCATCCTGCGCGGGAAAAAGTGTGGTTTCCCGTGATCGGTACTTAATGGAGACGCTTATTTATCCATCCGGTGTGCCTTTCCACCAGCACCTTCCTCCTGAATTTCACACACTTGCCGCTCCTGAGCCCTGGTTTTAATCAGCCGAAGGACGAGGAAATGATCGAGTCTTAGCGCAATGCCATGGTCAGGCTTGACAAGTGTCTGCCACCACCATCTTGGTTGGCCGTCCCTGTCATTTTAGATTCAAATGGTTGAGTTCACCTCCCTCACTCTGATCTTCTCAGAGCCCAGCTTCGTGTCTTATTCTTATAGATCTGAGATGCACTCCCCACCCCAAAAACGGCATTAATGGGAGTAGAGCTTAGATTGGCCTGGTTTCTTTCCTAACAAAATCACAGTGGCCTTCCCTGAGGAAATCTCTTCCTGTTTCGGGGCTTCCTCAGCAGTGCGGAGCCCCAGGCCGTCACCGAAGAAGGCTGCACCCACGCTAAGAGGATAGTGTCAAGTAAAAAAAAAAAGAATGTGCAAGTATCTTTAAGCTTATTCTTAGACTAGAGGCCTGATGCAGGAATATTCTAGCAAGAATAGGCCTTCCTTCCCCCAGCTGCTGCGCCGGCTTCCCTCTGGCTGGCTTCCCTCAGGCTGCCCGCAGGCACCTGGGCCTTGGGCTGGCTTCCCCTGGCCCGGCTTCAGCAGGAAGGACGGACATCTGGTCTAATTAGCATATTACCCTTTTTTATTATAGATGGCTGTCTTCTTTCTGAGTTTATTTCATGGCAGTATTTTTTCTTTACAAATGTTTGCACAAAATCACAAGCATGTTAATGTTTTAGCAGGGCTTTTAACATTTCTAGCTGCCGTCATGCTTTTTCGCCAAGACTGGGTAACTGCATTTTTTCCCAGGTCTTACATACAGCTACGTTCTGAGCCCAGTAAGATTTAGACTACCATATAAAGATTGCTTTGATGTTAAATATTTCAGGAATGAAAGAACTCCCGTTTGGGTAGTTGCTAATGAATGAACGAGTGTGGAAAGACAGTCCCATTTGAGCAAATGCAATGAGATGGTCCCTTCTCTGGCCGTGGAGCTCTGCCGCTCTGAGTGGCTGCGGATGGAGTTCACGGGGAATGCCACGCCAGCCGGTGGGAACAGCAGGGAGGGCGAGCCAGAGGCCTGGGCCCGCTCCTCGCTGTGTGCTGCTGGAGCTCGCTCTGGGGGTTAGTCACCCCGAGTCCAGTGCTTTGGGGGAGGTTAGGGGGGTCTCTTGGATGAGGGGCAGATGGGCAGAGCTCTTTGTAAAAGTAATACTTATGTGTTTCATAAATACAATTTTACTATTGAAAACGCTAGTAAAATACTAGATTTGTGCACCTGGGTTTCAGAACTGTCCACTCTCCCCGGTTCATGATATTTAAGGCACCTTCCAGCAGAAGTTTTACTAATGCCTTTGAATGCATCTGAAATACCTGAAAGCTGTGCTAAGTAGTTTGGCACCAGAGTTTGGGGGCTGAGCCTTGTCAGACTCTGCGCTCGCCCTCCTCTCTCCGATTCAGATCCTGGCTTTGTAGGTTCAGAAGCCTGGTGGGTCACTGATTGCCATTGGGATTCACCAGAGGGAGCTTGTGTGCAATTAACGCGCCCGCTCCATAGTGTGTGAGGATGAACAGGACTTGGAAACGAGCAGATGCGGGAGGGGCTGCCTGGTCTAGTTTTTTCACTCAGCATGTGTCTCCACGTGGCCGAATCTCACTGCTGTCTGTCTGTGTGCTCCTGCAGGTGGGGACGTTCTCAGTGGCCAGTGAGGAAGTCTTGAAGAATAGAGCCATAAAGAAAGCAAAGCGTAGGAATGTTGGATGTGAAGTGAGTGTTTTCCACAGCTTTCTACTGGGCGGGGGCGGGGGGCAGTCGGATCAGTAAGTGCTCGTTAAAGTGCTTTCTCCACTGTGGACAGCGGCTGCCAGCCTTTTGGCCCTCAGACCACCGTGGCTGGCGCCTGCTGGTGTAGCACATGCAGAACAGTGCCCCACGGGCTGTGCCTCACAGCGAGCTCCCAGCGCAGAGTGCCAGTGAGGAGGAGGAAGCGGACAGCCGTACGGAGAAGCGTGTGGCAGTGGCAGTGAGAGGAAAGGAGGGGATTCTCAGTCCCCTCTGGGGGAGGTGTGGGTTGGAGCAGTCCAACCGGAACAGAAGCCGTTCCCGTGCCCGCCATGCCATGCAATGCATTAAAATGCTTCCTTCTGGGCTCGGAGGATCCAGGATGAGGTGCATACAGCTCAGAAATTGAAACCCCGTGGTCAGGATTCAGCAGTCACCACATTAACACCTTCTCCCATGCTGGCCCTCAGCCTCCATGCGCTCCAGGCCTGGGTGCCGTGCTGCCGGCCTGGCCGTCTGCTCAGGCTAGGCGGTGGGACATGCGGGCAGCTTCGGGAGAAGCCTGCACAGCTGTGCCTCCCTTCCCCGTTGTCCTCTCTCAGCCGTTCTTCAGACGGCTGTGTAGTTGGCTGCAGGTGACAAGTCAGGTGATGTGTGATGGGAAAGGGCCAGCTTCACTAGGAAGGAAAGATGGAGTCTGTGTGGAAAGGCCCGGAAGGGTAGTGTGGAGTTCTCCACGGGACCACAGGGGACTCCTCAGAGGTGCAGGAGGAGATGAGCGGCCCCGGGGCTGACGCCACAGCGGGGGAGACGCGAGGAAGGGGCTCTGGTTTGCGTGAAGGAAGTCGCTCCTGTCCTGGTTCCGCTCTCGGCCAGCAGTTCTCCTCCAGTGGATGGAGGCTGCTGACCTAGCCAAGATCGTACTGCCCCTCGCTCACCGGTTATAAATCAATGGTCTGTGCTCCTTCTCTGTGTTTCAGTCGGATGGTGGAGGGGCCTTCAAAGGCTTTAAAGGGCTGGTGGCGCCCTCTGCAGGAGGAGGGTTTTCTGGATTCGGCGCTTGTGTTGGAGGGAAGCCTTTGGAAGGACTGTCCAACGGGACCAGCATGACTGGTGCCGCGCCCTTCTCCGGGGCGAGAGCTGCGGCCGAGACCAAGGTGGCCTTTGGTAAGTACAATAGACCCCCTCCCCCCCTCACACCTGTGTGAAGACAACCCCGGAAATAACTCCGGGCTGCGGACTGAAGGTCCCAGGTTCCATTCCAGTGGTCACGTTCCCAGCAGGGAGTGTGCAGGAGGCAGCTGATTGATGATTCTTACTCAATCGTTCTTCTTCTCCCTTCCTCTCTCTAAAAAAAAATCAATAAAATATATTTAAAAAAGAAGATTTCAGGATTAGCAATAGGGAATAAGATCATGGGTTAAAATATTGAGTTCTTGGAAAAGATCCCAATTTGTTGGATTGTTCTTAGCTATTCTAGAAGAGTTTCATCTTAATGAGGCAGAATGTTTATGTGATAAAATAAAATTAACTTTCTGTTAAGATTTTAACTGCATTAATATTCATTCCTAAAACCTTGGGGATTAAGTTTTATACTAACAGTATTTTGACAGTTCTGGGTAAAATGGGTATCTTTTTGAAGGAAAATATTATTTTTAAATGACTGATGCAAGCATAGAATAGATACTGTTCCTGTGTAGAGTCTGACTTGATTTTTGTGGTAACCAGATCCTAAATATTAGGTGTGCACATACTTCCTGAGCTTCACAAAGATGGGATGCAATAAAGCAGAAAATAGGAAGAGTGATACAAAAGTCTAGATGATTTAGTCAAGTAAAAATCTTTTTTTTAAAAAATATATTTTATTGATTTTTCTTACAGAGAGGAAGGGAGAGAGCTAGAGAGCTAGAAACGTCAATGAGAGAGAAACATCGACCAGCTGCCTCTTGCACACCCCCTACTGGGGATGTGCCCACAACCAAGGTACATGCCCTTGACCGGAATCGAACCTGGGACCTTTCAGTCCGCAGACCGACGCTCTACCACTGAGCCAAACCGGCTTCGGCTCAAGTAAAAATCTTAAAACTTGAATTTTCTTTAGGATCTGTTGCTGCAAACGGCCCCGCCTCCTTGGCTGATGGGAAGCTTTCAAATCCCAGACGGAACAGCGGCAGTCAGCAGTCCTCCGGGCTGGCCTCCAGCACCGCCTCCCTGGGGAGCGCCTACCACAAGCAGCTGGCCGCCCTCAACTGCTGCGTGCGGGACTGGATCGTGAAGCACGTGGATGCCAACCCGCTGTGCGACCTGACGCCCGTCTTCAGGGACTACGAGAGCTACCTGGCGGGCATCGAGCAGCAGCAGGGCGACAGCGGGAGCAGCGGCTCTGAGCAGAAATCTAGCCAAATGTCACTCGACTCTCAGGCTCCCTCCCTGTTTGGTTCCGCCAAGTCCCAGCAGGAGTCGACGTTCCTGTTCCACGCGGATAAAACTGAGGGCGCCTCCGGAAAGAAGACGGCGGCAGAGCCTGAGAAAAAGGGGGACCTGTCGCTGGGAGTGACAAGTGCCTCGTTTAGTTTCGGCAAGAAGATGGACGGGTCTGTGCTGGACTCCTTAAACTCTGGCCCCCTGGCTGGGTTTTCCTTTTCTTCTGGAAACGCCAGTTTGTTTGGCAAAGACATTGCCCAGAGTAAGCCGGCTGCTTCACCCTTCTCCGCCCCAGGACTGGAGAGCCAGGCGGGTGGCGGCAGCGCGGGCTGCAAAGGTAAGGGGGACGTTGGTCCGCAGTCTGGGGTCGGGTGTGGAGGTTTGTGTTCAGGGGAAGAAGCAGAGACGTCACCATCATGACCGAGCCGCGTGGTCCGGGGCTGGCTGGCCAGCTCGTCTCCGCTTCCTTACGTGCAGAAGGCAGTGAGGCGGTGTGCAGGTCATTGTGAGGACTAAGAATATAGACATTAAGAAGATGACTTTCTGGCACAGTGATTTTGAAAAGTATCAAATACCTGGCTTGTGTGTAAAGAATTAAGCGAATTAACGTTTGAAAATTGCATTTTATTGGGAGTTAATCATGAATATCCACTGAGTTGGGTTGTAAGTAAAGGCACAGAGCAGAGTGCTGCTGTCCGTGTAACAGGGAGACTTCGAGAGTCCGGGGACAGATCAACCAGGGCTTTCCCCGGGGAGTTGTTTGAGCACCAGGACTGTTTCTCAGCGGCGATGTTTAAGTTGCTTTTTAGTTTAGGGAGTTTCATGGCCTGCCGTTCTCTTTGAGACGGGCATTGGCCTGGTGTGTGTCTTCCGTCTCCCCGTGGGCTGCAGGGAAAGGAATGCTGCTCTGGCTCATGCAGGTGGGGGTGGGAGGCACGCAGGTCAGACAAAGCTCACGTGACTGATGCTGGGCTCTGGCGTGATCCTGTGGCAGCTGCTCATTTCCCATCGGATCCAGTCCCTGCGGGCTGCAGGTGTGGTCACAGGAGCATGTGGGGAGGGAGGTTCGGGAAGCACATTGAGATGTTCCTCTCCCAGTGATGAGTGTACACACAGTGTGTGTCACCTGTCTGTGTGCCCATGTTTCCCACTTCAGAACCTGAAGGAAAGTCTTATTGATCAGGAAGTTGCCAGCTGAGAAGATGGGAGACTCCCCCTCAAATCCATCTTAAGAAAGTACAAAAACCAGGCTTTTTTATGAGAAGGGAAGGGGAGTGGGCGGGCAAGAGTGATTGACGCAGACCAGCAGCGTGCAAGGCAGACTGCTTACTCTGGGCCTCGGTGGTGTGTGCCTGGTGAGAGGTTCCTGCTGGTCTTGGGTAACACCACGTACTTCCGCCTCTCCCGGGAGGCCTGCTGGTGAGGCCATTTGTGTGAGCTGCCTCTGTGGACTGGCTGTGCGTGTGGGAAGGTAGAGCCTGCACCTCGGAACAGAGCAGGCTGGAGGGCGGAGCCAGAGGCCCACGCTTCACTGCACAGGTTTGCTTTTCCTTGTCTGTGAAAGTCTGCATATGCCCTGCATCATAGCAAGGACAGTCTCCCTCCCAGGGCTTCCTATAGACTGATAGTTGCTTTATAATAGAGAAGTGTGTTCCCATTAAAAATGTCACAGGTTTCTCATTTTTCACAGAATGATGAAAACCCGGTGGGTGCGAGCACACGCACAATGCGATATCAGCTTACGTGGGATGTTAGGTTGGAACGGGGAGGGGGGTGGCTGGGTTTTCCTTTCCTTCCTTACCACGTGGTTAAGCTTGGTTTGCGCTCGCTGAGTCCGATTGTCTCTGACAGGTGGGGAAGAGGAGGAAAGTGACGAGCCGCCCAAAGTAGTGGTCACGGAGGTGAAGGAAGAAGATGCTTTTTACTCCAAAAAGTAAGTCCGAGTTGGAGCCGAGGACCCGCCTGATGAATGCTGTCAGCGTGGACGGAGGCCTCCGACATCGCCCTGGACTGACTGTGTGGGGTGTGCCTGCTCCTTGGCTGGAACAAGGAGCGTTCTCTGCCTGTTTATTTAAAAACAAACATGTTCTAGACTTTTCCTCAGGCACAGCCTTCTCTCCTGCCGACCCAGTTCTGCTTTAAAGGGCCGTAGAGAGGGCCTTTGCTTTGCCTGCCTCCCCTCTCGGCTACTTCCTCTCCCCTTTCCTTCTCCCTGCCTCTCCCCTCCTCCATCCCCCACAAGAAAGTCACCCGCCACTGACTTGGGGTTCGGTGCTACTTCTGCTCTTGGTCCGGAGGCGCCTGTGATCCGTCCTGGAGACTCGCTGGTTTTCATGGATTTTCTTGCAGGTCCACACAGCCCTGCCAGTGAGGCTGTGTGAACAGTCTGCCCTGCTGTTGGGCTGCTTTGTTTTAAAGTTATTGGGGTGACATTGGTTAATAAAATTATAGAGGAGTCAGTGAATTGCACTGTGTTCTCCACCCAAAGCAGCTCCCCGTCACGGTGTACTCGACCTGCTTTAGAAGGCGGAGGGGACTTTTTAATTGCTCTCTGTGCTTCGAAGAGATATTTACTGAAAGATTTTTGCCAGAAGCTTCCCTGGGTGTGTTTTTCTAATAGAAAAAGTTCAGCCTAATGAGTCAGCAGTTTTCATGGCAAAAAATCACCATGTCCTCTGAGATTTCCAAGTGTTAACTACTTCTAGAACTTTTTTTTTTAAATATATATATTTTATTGATTTTGTACAGATAGGAAGGGAGAGAGAGAGTTAGAAACATCGATGAGAGAGAGTCATCGATCAGCTGCCTCTTGCACACCCCCCACCGGGGATATGCCCACAACCAAGGTACATGCCCTTGACCGGAATCGAACCTGAGACCCGTCAGTCCCCAAGCCGACGCTCTATCCATTGAGCCAAACTGGTTTTGGCTACTTCTAGAACTTTTAAAAGAGGCCAGCCTTTCCTTTCGCCTGTTTTTAAAACTTATTTACACAGATGACAGAAGGCGTGCCCCTGTCGGTGTTTTTTCCTAATCCGAGCCAATCGGAAGCAGTGGTTTTGGTTTCTCTGGTGATGAGCTAAGGACTCTGTGACACACACTTCTAGCAGGCGTTTCACTGCGTCCTCATTACTTAGGGAGGTAAAAAAAGTTGTTGGAGTTCTGAAAAGAATTCAGAAATAAAGGAAAAAGGGGAGGGCTGTGGGCAGTGTTGTTTCTGTTTTGCTGTTTTCTTTTTCTTTTAGTTAATCCTCACTGAAGGATATTTTTTCCATTGATTTCTAGAGAGAGTGCAAGGGAGGGGGAGAGACAGAGAAACATCTATGTGAGAGAGAAAAAGACACGTTGATTGGTTGCCTCACACACACCTACCAGGGTTGGGGATCAAACCTGCAACCAAGATATGTGCCCTTGATCAGAATTGAACCCGGTACCCTTCAGTCTGCTCTACCCACTGAACCATACCAGCCAGGGCTTTTCTGTATTCTTGTCCTTGGAAGACCAGATGACCGTGATTTTTTTTATTTTTTATTTTATTAAGGTATCACATATTTGTCATCATCAGATGGCTGTGATTTTGATTGTCTTGAGAAAGGGTAGTTTCAGAAAGTTATGTAATAATTTGAAAAACTAGTGGAAGGGTTCTCGAATATCCAAGCAGGCATTCCTGTTCTGGTTCGTGCCTGGACCTGGTCTAGTGCACAGAAGGTGGTCTGGAAGCTTCCTCTGCTCTCCTTCAATGGCGATCCCCCACAAGCATGAGCATTGGTGTGAGAAGGACTGATGTGTGGCTGTTTGTCTGACCGGATTGTGATTCTCTCCATAGGTGCAAACTTTTTTATAAGAAAGACAATGAATTTAAAGAGAAGGGTGTAGGAACTCTGCATTTAAAACCTACGGCGAATCAGAAGACACAGCTGTTGGTGCGGGCAGACACCAACCTAGGTGGGTGCCTTTTCCCCGGTGGCACCGTGAGAAGCCCTTCCCCTTGCTCTTCAGTCTGGGAAGTGGGGGAGGGACAGCGAGACCATTCAGGCCAGTTCATCCTGACTTAGTGGCTCTTGCGGTTGGTTTGAGTCGGGGTGTGTGTGTGTGTGTGTGTGTGTGTGTGTGTGTGTGTATGTGTAGAACAGGCACTGCTAAATGCTAACAAAACACTCCATGCTCCTGCGTGTGAGACGTGACGAGAAGCTGGAGGAAATTGGATGTTTAATGATAATCACACGGAGAATTAATCATTGAAAGGGATCCTTTTTCCTCATTAACACCCTCCCCTCAGCCCATCCTCCAGCTGGGCCCTGAAACCAGTCCGTGAGGGGTTTGGAGGGAGCCAGTCTAAGAGGAAGTGGCAGCCCCAGACTGGTTGCAGAAGGAGGCCTCTGGGCATTGGGCAGAGCCCGGTCCCGCCCGTGGCCTCAAGGTCCTAGGCATACCCGAGGCTCCCAGTCAGTCCCTGGAGTGCAGGGGGCTCCGTGTTCAGTGTTCACACCCTGAGCTCTGGTTTGTCTGATTGGGGTCATTTTTGTTTCCTTAAACGCAGGCAACATCCTGCTGAACGTGCTGGTCCCGCCCAACATGCCGTGCACGCGCACGGGGAAGAACAATGTGCTGATCGTGTGCGTGCCCAACCCCCCGGTGGACGAGAGGAATGCCGCCGCCCCCGTGCCCATGCTGGTCCGCGTCAAGACCAGCGAGGACGCCGACGAGCTGCACCGGCTGCTCCTGGGCAGGAAGGACGACGCCAGCCCGCCTCCTTAGTCAGTTTCTCCCTCCGCCGACATTCTGAGGACTTTAGGTAACTTAAACCCTGTGCGAAAGATTAATATGGCCAATAAACCTTTCCTGTTTAGTGTTAAGAGCTGTCTAGCGTGTAAACTACATTGGAGAGACATTTGGGGATTTTTAATGTTCATTTATTAGGTTAACCACAAGTGATTTCTTAACGGACTGAAATCAGGGTATCACTGGATTTCCCAAAGCTTTTCCCACGGGGGTCTGGGCAAGGCTCCGGGTGGGCGTCAGGAGGGCCTGGCCCTGCCCTTCCGCCCGTGGGCATGGCCAGCCGAGGCCAGCAGAGGGCCCGAGCCCTCCCGGGGGCGCCGCCCTGCCGACGGCTGTGCTTGCTTCTAAGTGTTCTTCCAGAGCGTCCCACAGGCCACCCTCTGCGGTGCTCCGCAGCGCGGCCCGGCCTCCCAGCAGCCGCAGGGCCGGGCCTGCCGCTCCTCTCACGGGGAAGCAGGACCTGGTGTTCGGTTTTGGAGTTGATTCATGAGGTGCTGGTGCTGGTAGTTCCTTCTGTGCTCCCCTCATGACAGACGGAGAAAGGGGGCTGCCAGGTGAGATTTAAAAGCACAGATTTGGTCGCTCACGCTTTGTGCGTGACTGTGTTTGTGGCGGCGAGCCCTGTGGGTCACCTGCTAAGGCCGGGAGCTTCCGGGGCAGGGCCGTGAGCGCACCAGCCCGGAGGGGACGTGAGTGTGCACGTGCTGCCTTCAGCTTGGACACGGTATTCCACATTCGCCACCCAGTTCCCGGCCCTTTGCAGTGAGTTGTTCAGGGTTGGCACAGGAATGCCACGTCGCCTCCCCAGGCTGTGGGAGCTCAGCCAGCGTGCCCGCACATAGCACGTGGGAGACGCGGCTCTGGGGGTTGAAATGCCCAAGTTCCCCATTCAGTTAGCGCGGCGCCAGGCGACTTGTTTCAGGCTCGGTGGGTGCCTGGGGCTCACGCAGTATGTTCTGGCCTTCAGCACATCTGACTCAGAAAAGGGGAGTCACGATAGTTATAAATCGTGTCGTTTTTTCTTAAAGAAAACAACTAATATTTAGGTGTAAAGGGGCGGGGAAATGTGATCAAATAACAAATACTGGAGGTCAGGTGACTGCTCTGTCTGTTAACAGCACAGGCTGGCGGGCAGGCGGGGTGAGCACGCAGACCGCCTGCTCGCGGTGAGGGGTGGGCCAGCTCTCCTGCAGCCCAGGCAGAAGCCACAGTGGCCTTAGCATCTCTGCTTAGCTTGAGGCTGTTGGTGTGCTCTTGCGACAGGTGGTGAGTAATAGACCAGCGGTTAATGCTGTTACAGGGGTCCTGCCCCGCCCCTGCCCTGGGCACGTTGGTTTATCTGTGAAGGAGGAGGAAGTACGGGTTTCCACGTCAGGGCCTCACACCGTGCTCCCAGGCCCTCCCTCCCGGAACAGCACGGCTCAGTGGGACCCTGTGGTCACGGGCATCGAGGTCAGCTTTTGCAGACTGGTGATGGCTGTATGTGCGCTTACCTCTAACATTCCCAGCAAACTCGCTGCTGAAACTGTTCAAGTGAGAATTACAGGGCAAATGTGACGTGTGTCCCATAACCCAATGTAACATTTTCTTACAGTTCCTACGCTTTAGGCTCTTGGCTTCACTGTAGTGGGTGCTGGTGTGCCAGCGCCCGGAAGTGTACGACCTCACTGTCGCCCAGCCCCTCGCGTGTGGCCTTTCCCCCCGTGGCGGGACAGCTTCCCCTCCCCATGCGGCCACGCTCACCTGTAACCGCGTGTGAGAAACAAGTCTGTAAAGTGTTTAATGTGGACTGAGATGTCCATTTGGGTTGAAGAACCTGTGAAGCGTGTTTTATCTGTGGCCTGGAGTGGGTGTGCCTAGCTTTTGTTTGAAGTGGGTGTTGTTGCATCTTGACAAACACTGAGCATCCCAGTGGCCTGTTTTCACCCTGGTGTCCTCCTCCTCCTCTTGCGCTTACCCAGTAGGCGAAACACTGCAGGGGCTCCTTTGTTGTTAGACTTAGAGACAGAATTCTGTGTCCAGGTGGTTTTTGATTTAGTTTTAATTCCATAGAGAGGAAGGGAGAGGGAGAGAGAGAGAGAGAAACATCAGTGATAACAGAAAAGCATTGATTGAGTTCCTCCTGCACGCCCCCTACTGGGTGTCAAGCTCCAAACCCAGGCACATACCCTGACCAGCAATCAAACTGTGATCTCTTGGTTCATGGGTCCACACTCAGCCACTGAGCCGCACCAGCCGGGAGCATCAGGTTTTAAAGAAGTTGTGTTTCCTAGAGGAACAACTCTGACTGTTTAGGAACTGGTTTTCTTTGAAAGGATGACCGTTTTACGACTTCAAACCCAAATCCTATTTTTGATATGCTGCATGCCAAAAATACCTACCTACTGTCGTTTAGTTCAGACCAGTGCTCCCTGAGAAAGGTGGGGGTGGGGGCGGAATTCTGTTAGTCATATTCTGGAACAGCCGGCAGTGCACTCGAGGCTTCGCACACCAAGTGGCTCCCTCCCAGACCCCCAAGTCCATTCTCATTCTGAACGGAGGCTTTGAAGTAGAAACGGGGCCGCCCTGTGCTGCCCGAGGGGACGGAGCCTCTCGGCAAACAGGCCTCAGCCCCGCCCTGGGCACAAGGCCGCTCGGAAGTACCTGGTCTTGGGCCCAGGGCTCTCCCAGCAGACCAGTGGTAACGGAGGAACGCTTACTTCCTCGCCATCAGGTGGATAATGTTTGCTTTGTTTGAAATAGGAAACTTCTTTAATACTTGAATTGTCAGCCCATGTAATCCCAGTCTGTGCCAGTTTTTGGATTATCCCATTGAGGACATGTAACAACCCAGGAAATGTGAATAAATGGAGAGGAAACAAAATCCGTGTTTGACATTCCATGTTCTCCGTGACGCACCCGGCGCTAAGAGAGCAGAGGGGAGGGGTCTGCAGAGCGGGAGGAGGGGGGTGCAGAGCTGGGGCCTGCAGAGCCCCACCCAGAACCTCCTGCTTGGAGGGAGGCAGAAGTGCTCCGGCCCCGAGGCCACTCCCACTTGCTGGGAACAGCTCTCTTGCTCGGGCTGTGCCGGCTTCTCCACCCCCTGGTCTAGTCCTCACAGCCTTCTCCGCCCCCTGGTCTAGTCTTCGCAGCAGGCCTCCGGGCTTGGGCCTGGGTGGGTTTTCCAAAGAAACGAGTGCGGGCAGCTTCAGTTACTCAGATAAGCAACTGGAGTTTCGATCTGTGTTAGATCCATCTCAGCCAAAAGTCCGAGCTCTTAAGGACATTTTAAAACTAAGGACCAAAAGGATCAAGAAAAAATGTTTGGAGTCCCAGAACTGTCACGTTCCAGTGCTTTAGGAGACACCAGAAAGGCCTGACCGAGTTGTGTTTGGAGTCAGGTGCCTGTCCAGCCTGTTGGGCATGGGGCCGGACTGAGAGAGGTGCCCGGGGACGAACACACTGTCCAGACTCGCTCGCCCGCCAGTGCCTTCCCCGAGTGGGCAGCCTCCGGGGCGGTGCTGACTCTCGGGGGGGCTGGGCAGGGCACCGTCCAGTGCGGCCCTGGGTGCACAGCCGCCCGAAGGCCTGGGACACGGGGTAGCTCGCATTCTGTAACAGCCACTCTGTCCAGTCCAGCAGGTTAGTGTGTTCACAGCTGTGCGGCCTCACAGTGACGTGTTTGAAGATAACCTGTGGCCCACTCTTCGGGCACATTCCAGCGAGGGAGGGGGCGGAGGGCTGGCAGAGCCGTGGCAGCCTGGCACTGGCCTCACAGGAATGTAGCTGGCAGTTTTGCCTCTGGGAAGCCCAGCCCAGGCTGGCAGCAGCCCGCAGGGTCCATGCAGCCCAAGGAGGGCCAGACCCGCACGGCCCAGCCAAGGGCTCAGCTGGGCTGGTTTCTGGAACTGAGTTGCCTAAAATCCTTTGAACAAAAGAGTTTACCCAAAATACAGTCATTAAAGTTCACTAACAGCCATGGTTATTCACACAGAGCAATCGGATGGTTTTATTCAAGTTAGATTCCAAGATGAAGGGCCTTAGCCACAGACAGGGGGGACACCTTGTTAGCCCTGTTGGCTCCTGTGCGGCCGGGGTGGCAGGGAATCCCACAGGCTGTGGGCAGAGAACACACAGTCATCCCCAACACAGACACAAAGCTTCCCTTCCCACACGCGGGTCCCAGGGGTCCGGCTGCGCCAACAGCCACACACAGAGCACAGCGCGCTTACACACCACGACCACGTCTATGTACAACGGACGCAGGGTCGGATGGCCTTCATGTCCCCCTCCTCCCCGTGTGGCAGTCCCAAAGGCCCCCCCTCGTGACTGCTTTTCTAGGCAAGCGCACGACAGTGCTTCCTCAGAGGCCATCTGGGTCAGCATTAACCACAAGTGACCAAGCGTCAGCCATGCATAGCAACGAGGTCCTTCTAGGAGCTTCCCGGAGACTCAGCTAACCGTTGTCCGGTGACCGCTTTCCAGGGGCCTGATCACTGACCTCGTCTGTGGCGAGGGCGTCTGTGACCCCCCTCCCCCCCACCCCAAGCAGCCTCCTCCGTACCCACCATCTCAGTCCGCCCAGGTTCCCAGGCGTCACCTGGATGGGCTGCCCTTCCCCTTTCTAGATGTTTCCGGCCTGCGCCCGGACCCCGTTTCCCAGCCTATAACTCCCTGCAGTGTCTTAGCCCTCCGCACACCATGGCCTCATGACGGCCTCGTCTGACCCTGGAGATAAACAGAGGCTCCAGCAGCTAGCGAACGTAGTCCCGTGCTCAGTGCCAGCTTGAATCATCGCAGAGCAAGGCAGCAGAGAGCTGGGGTCAGAGACAGCTTCTCCAGGCCAGGGGCTGGGTGCGAGCCGGCCACTTCCCTCCAGGGCATGAGGCGGCGGACCTGCCTCTCTTGGACTTGGCTTTGCAAACACAGCATTTGACCGGACTGCAGCGGTGCACCGCCCTGGTGGGCCCTTCCGTCAGTGCCCAGCAACAGATCAAAATGCAGCTTGTTTTAGTACCGTTTTCCTGAAAATAAGACAGTGTCTTATATTAAATTTTTCTCCCAAAGATGCGCTAGGTCTTATTTTCAGGGGATGTCTTATTTCCGGGGAAACACGGCAGCTGTGTCAGTCCTCCAAATGGAGAAATCTTCGGGGCAAAAGAAAGTTCAGTCACCAAGTCACCACAAGGCTGTAGCATCCGCTTTTCACCCGAGACGCCCTAGTGGAGAACAGAAACGGATTCCGGAGAGGAAGACACGGGAGGAAAAATAAACGTAATGTTCGCCATACAAATCAACTTCCAACAGAAATGAGAGCCACGCAGGCCCGGCTGAGACGCGACTTCCGGGGTGCAGACGGTGCCGACCGGGAGCCTCCGACCTGCAGGTGTGGGGGTCGCCATCAGGTGGCTGCCTTTGCTAAGATGGACTTTGCAGAAATCACTTCCATGACGGCTTCAAAGTGAGAAAACCTCCACAGGTTTCCTTGTGGGTCTCAGCAGAGAATTTGTTTGGGAAGAAAGCCCAGAAGATGTGGATTTTCACCCAAATCGCCCCACCTTCTGTGACGTGGGGACCCAACGGGCCGGGAGGTGAAGGCTCTGGATCCGCTGCCCCAGGACGGGACGCGGGCTGTGGACACGCCCTCACGTCTGGCGACCTCCCCTTCGGAGGTTCTGTCTGCTGAACTGGACCGGCCCAGGCCACTCGGTGGTCAAGTGGTTTGGCTTCTGCGTGTGGGGCTCCAAGCTCTCCGGGCCGAGTCGGGGCGGCAGGGTCCAGTCCGGGTCACGTCCGTAAGGAAAAGGGAAGAGGACGTGACAGCGAGCACCTTCCCCCTCCCACAGGCGCTCTCTGAGGGACAGGCTGGAGCCCCGCCGCCTGGCTCCAGAGCACACGCCCAGGCCGGCCCTGACCTGGCAGGGGCTGCAGGCTCCAGGGCAGAGGCGCCAGCACCGCCCTGCAGGCCTGCAGCTGCGTCCCCCACGGTGGGTTCTTAAAGGGACACTTGTTTTATGGCTCCAAGATGAGAGGAGGCCTGGACAGGAAGTCAGTGTCATGTCAACAGATCCTGGTGTTTGAAGCTGAATATAAAACTAAGTTCTGGCTGAACTGGAAAGCGGAACAGAATATTTGTATGTATGTATGTATACGTATATTCCCAAAAAACGTACATACATTTCAACAGCTGCTAGCTCGGGTTTCTTTTCAGATTTAACTCACTGGAATGACTAATTATTCAAAGTGTGTATACTTTTTTTTTTGAGACAACTTGTATGTATGTGTGAAACCTATTGAGTCTCATTAAAAAGCTAGCAGACTTGTAACATGTAAGCCTTTAAAGGGTTTTGGACCGATTTAAAACCACCATATTATGATAATGCCGAAGATTTTTCAGGTCATTAGAATATCCCAGCTGTGTAGGGACTACCCCATGGGATGTGTTTTAATGGAAAAAAATCTTTTATTTCATTCTTAAAATGCCTCCTGACTAGCCCGGCCGGGGTGGCTCAGTTGGCGGGGCATGTCCCATGCACCGAAGGTCGCGAGTTCGGTTCCCCGTCAGGGCACAAGCCCGGGTGGTGGGCTTGATGAATGTGACACATAGGTTTCTTCAAAGAAAACTAGACTTTCAATTCCGATTCCCATTCAAGAAGCGTACGCACACGTCGTCATCCCTGCATCGCCGAGACGGGCGTGTCCCCGGGTATTAAAGATCCTCGGGGACGGGTTCCGGTCCTGCCGCTCATTCCGGAGGCCATTTGTCACTGCAAAACCAAACTCGGCGTCACAGCTCGCTGCGTAGTCCCCAGCGCGCGGAGTGGGTGTTCAGTTCAGTGCACAGGACCTTTCGGGTTAAAGACCAAGGTCAGCACCACCAGACGTCCCTCCGTCTGTCCTGGCAGCGGGGTCAGGGCTGTGGGGCCGGCGATGCCACGTGGGCCTCCTGCCCGCTGTGCTTGCGGTGCGGTCTTGGGCGGTTTCCTCGTCAGTGAGACGGGACGGTAACTGCTGGAGGTGCTGCCTGCCTGCGTGGGGACAGCCAGCCGCGGCCTGCGCGCAAGGTGTGGCTCAGAGCCCAGCCGCACGGGCCCCACCGCCCCCACCGCCAGTGTCCGAGTTCAGTAGCGTCTTCCTGTTACTGCTCGGGCCCTCAGGACCCCACGCCGTCCCCAGGAGCCTGACTCGCCTGGAACCAGGAGCGGTGGCCAGGCCTTAGGAGCTGGCCGACCGCTGGCTTCAGCTCACCTCTGAGGACGGGGGGCTGCCTCCCACACGTGCCAAACTAGCTCACCCCCCACGGAATCCACGTCGTGTCTCCAAGAACCGAGTTCCCGACGCCTGGGAGAGGGCGGTCACCGCAGAGCCACCTGGGACGCAAGCTCCACCTGCGATCGGCCCCCAACACCCCCACGGCGCCTGCAGACTGGCCATGGGGCTCACCCCGAGGCGCGGCTCCCCGCCCGGCTGCTGCCCTGCCACCCTGCGTCAGACGCTGCTTCAAACTCGAAATCGTGCAGAACGAGGCACCGCTGAGCACGAGCTGGGACCAGAGAACACAGAATGCTCCAACTCAACCCCATCGAACACTTCGGGGTGGGGAGGGGGTGACAGGACGACGGGAGGGGAGATTCGCTTCCAGACTCTGACCCCTGGCCCCAGAGGTGCAGAATGCCTGGCGATCGCACCTGACCCAGTTGTGTACTGGAACTTGGAGACGTCAGTGAGGTAGGTGGTATCAGCCCCATTTTACAGGTGGGCAAACTGAGGCAGAATGAAATGCAACAGCTCGCTTTTAATAACAGCATACAAAATGTAGAGAAAGCCCCAAGGAGTCCCTGTTCCGGAGCCAGCGCACACCCTGGAGCACAGAATGGAAACCGATGGAACAAGCCCTCCATTCCTTTCCTGCCCCGGGGCCTCTGCCGCCAGCAGGACCAGCACGTGTTTCCAGAGACTTTAGACTCAGCCACGCGGCAGCAGAGGCCAGTGACTGCCGCCAGGGCTGGCCGGCTCTCCCAGAGGGCTCGGCTCAGAGCACGTGGTCCTCACAGGCGGAGGTCCTGGCTGGCACCAGGCCAGGGCAAACCCGGGGCTCGTGTGCCACCCACACCTGACCGTACTGGCCGCATGGAAGCCGGTTCCCCTCGGCCTCAGTGAGCTGGTCTGAGAAACGGGCGGCCATCTCCAGAGAGCCCGAGGTGGAACCCTTCCTGGGGGCAGGCCACCCCCACCCACCGGCCACTCCTGCCGGGGCCGAGCCCCCCCCTGTCCGCGGCCGCGTTCTGGGCTCTCCCGGCGGGAGCGGTGGGCGGTGCTCTTTGGCTGGAAGCGAAGGCCGTTCTGGCGGGATCCGGGCCTGTCTGCCGAGCTCGAGGCCTCCCGGGAGCGGGTGTGGGTGACGTTCCCGGCCCAGGGGGCACCGTCCACCTCCCCAGGGGGCCCCGTTAGGACCACGCTGGGGAGGACAGACACGGGACCAATGTGGACGCTGAGGTTCATGGCACGGAACTGCAAAATCTTAGCTGCTTCCTTCGGAAGCGCGGACTGTGGGCACAGGGGCGCCCGCTGGGCGGTCTCCGCCTCTGAGCGGTCAGCGGGTCTGGACGCACTGGCCGCTCCTTGGCGCTCTCTGGCCTCGGGCGTCTGCGGTTCTTTGGGTGCAGAGGGCTCTCCAGGGTCGGGCTGGGCGGTGGGCGGGTGCAGGGCAGGAGCAGAGCCAGCGGGGAGAGGAAGAGGCACTTCAGTTTGGGCTGGTGTTCGTGGAGTGGCCCTGGCTCAGCGCTGGCTGTCGGACCCCGGTGCGGTGGACAGCGAGGCACTTGGCAGTACTTCCAGGGCCGGGCTCTGCGCGCGCTCCGCGCGGCTAGGTCATCAGGATGGGCTTCTGCCGGACTTCCAGGATGTCTGGGAGGCGGAGCACAGGACAGGAAGTCAGGAAGAAGGCCCGCCGCGTCCTCCCCAGCCTTCCCGCTTCCCGCCTCGCCGGCTGCAGGGCTGTCAGCCGGGTCAGGGCGGGGACGCGGGGTGTGGCCAGGCCCCGTCAGCGGGGACAGGGACACCTCTCCCAGAGGCCCCAGCGGGTGTGAACAGGGGCCTGACTTGAAATGAGGGGACAGGGTGGGTCACCCCTGAAGTGGCCTCAGGAACCCGGGCCCAGGAGTCAGCTGGCTGAGAGAAGTGAGGCCCGTGCTGCCCGGCAGGGGTACCTGTGAGGATCCGATGCAGCGGCAACATGACGTAGGTGAGGTGTGCATAGAGGAGGAAGTTCCCATCCGCTCTGTTCAGCTTCAGCCAGGACCCGACCAGGGAGCGCCCCGTGCCGGACAGGGACCGCGACCGCAGGTTGGTGGCGGTGTGCAGGTCCGCTGCGGGCAGGAGGCTGGGTCAGGCGTGGGACCCCCTGCGCCCTCTGCGGCGATTGATTACCCTGGCCTGCGGCCTCTGCCCCCCCCAACTCTCCCACCCCCTTCTCTGTCCGGGAGCCTCCTCCGTGGGGTCCTGCACCCCGCACACAGCTCCTCTGCTCCCGGGGTCCTGCCTGTCACTGGAATGAGGTGCCACAGGCCTGAAGGGCCGGGGCGAGGCTGGGATGAGGGGCACTGTCGCCCAGGGAGGACACAGGGCGGTCAAGGCCAGCGCTGGAGTCTCCGGGTCTGCGGGCAGGGCCACTCAACACCAGCCCTAGGCTCCCATGGCCACATGACTGCCCTCTGGCTGCACGGTCCCTGCCGGGGGCTGACACCACGGAGGCACAGGAGCGCTGCCAGGGACTGGAACTGTGTGGCCAAACCCAGGCCTCTGCCAGGCAGGCGGGAGGCCTGGACCCACTGAAGGCTCCAGAGCGGGTGAAGGTCTGGAAGCCACCCGCAAAGCCCCTGGGCCGGCCTTGCCACGGCACTGGGGGCGCGGTACGGAAATGCTGACCGAGCGCCGCGGCTGGTTCTCCTTTGCCGCAGGCTGACGTTTAAGTTCAGGGAGAGGGACCCTGTGCATGGCCCCGGAGGATAAAGGCTGCCCACCGGCTCTCGAGAAGGCTGAGGGGCCAGCGACAGCGCCGGGGGAAAGCCGTGAAGTCACAAAACGCACGGACGAGCCAGAGCCCACTCCCTCCTGCGGTGCGCACTTCCGGCCACGGTGGCGACAGACCATCGCATCGGCAAGCACAGGGACCCCTCGCACTGCACACCGGGACCCTCACACTGCACTCAAGAGACCCTCACACTGCACACCGGGACCCTCACACTGCGCTCCGGGACCCTCACACTGCACTCAAGAGACCCTCACACTGCGCTCCGGGACCCTCACACCGCACACACCCCTCACACTGCACACACCCCTCACACCGCACACTGGGACCCTCACACCGCACACCGGGACCCTCACACTGCACACCCCCCTCACACTGCACACCGGGACCCTCACACTGCACTCAGAGACCCTCACACTGCACACTGGGACCCTCACACTGCACTCCGGGACCCCTCACACTGCACACCGGGACCCTCACACTGCACACACCCCTCACACTGCACACACCCCTCACACTGCACTCAGAGACCCTCACACTGCACACTGGGACCCTCACACTGCACTCCGGGACCCCTCACACTGCACACCGGGACCCTCACACTGCACACCAGGACCCTCACACCGCACACTGGGACCCTCACACTGCACACCCCCCTCACACTGCACACCGGGACCCTCACACTGCACTCAGGGACCCTCACACTGCACACTGGGACCCTCACACTGCACTCCGGGACCCCTCACACTGCACACCGGGACCCTCACACTGCACACACCCCTCACACTGCACACACCCCTCACACTGCACTCAGAGACCCTCACACTGCACTCCGGGACCCCTCACACTGCACACCGGGACCCCTCACACTGCACACCGGGACCCTCACACTGCACACCGGGACCCTCACACCGCACACCGGGACCCTCACACCGCACACTGGGACCCTCACACTGCACACTGGGACCCTCACACTGCACACACCCCTCGCACTGCGCTCCGGGACCCCTGACACTGCAAACCGCCACTCGTCCTCACGTTCTGAAGACCCAGAGGAAGGGGCCCTGCGGCAGGGATCTGTCTGCTCAGCCCCTCCCCGGACAGGCACCCTTTAAGAGGAACGAATGAGGAAGGAATGATGAGCCGAGAGGCACCGGGGCCCGGTCACCTGCATCGTCGTCCTCCCGGAAGAACTCCTCGCTGTCGTTGGCGGAGTGCGACTTCTTCATCTCGGCGATGCGGCTGTGGGGCACCTTCCTCTTGAGGGACGGGGAGAAGAAGGTGGGCCGGTTGTTCCGCTCCGGCGTGGGGGGGGTGCTGAAGGAGGCCATCTGGGGACAAAGCCGGAGTCACAGCGCAGCCCGCCGACCAGGGGCCCAAAGCCACTCCCTTCCCCAACGAACCCGCCCCCGCGCTCCACGGGGAGCACCTGCCGGAGGAGGGGCCCGCCGTGGCACCGTACTGAGCCCACCCTCTGAGGCCCAGCGGGCACTAGGACATGGTTTCAGCTCAGGGGCCAGCAGGGCGGCCTGGCTGCCAGCTCTGCCCTCAAGCCCTGGCAGGGGCCGGGCTGAGTGCGAAGACTGGCCGATGACGCTGCTCAAGCACCTGCCACAGCACCTGAGTCCACGGAACTCCCACGAGACGGGCCCGGCACTGACCCCGCGGGCAAGTGAGGACACGAAGGTGGACAGCAGCTTTAACGGGACCAACGTGAACTCTCACAGCATCCGGAAGGATGACAGCCAAACGATGGCGACTCAGGTCCTCCCCCCTCACTCTGGCTAACGTCCCCCCACCCCCCGCATTCTCCCATACACTTGCTATGGCCAGGTCGCCCATGCTTCTGTCCCCTCCTCTCCTCTCTTCTAACCACTCTGTTCAGTTCACTAAACATTCTCACACCCACTTGGGGCCTGGTGGACGCAGCACTGAGCACAGACAGGCATGTTGTGACACTGGTCCCTGCCCTCAAGGAGCTCACAGTCTGCTGGGGGCAACAGACTCAGAGAGAGACAACAACAGCATGATGGCTGCTGAGACAGGTGAGGAGAGGCAGAGCATACAGGGGGGCACAGAGGCAAAAGCCCGAGAAATCAGGGAAGGCTTCCTGGAGGAGATGCCGCTGGAGCCGGGTCGTGAAGGACGAGTAGGAGTTCGCCAGGTGAAGAAGGGGGGGAAGGGCGTTCCAGGCAGAGGGAACGTGGCCCCTCTCCTCCCTCCTCCCCATGCAAACAAGAATCTGAGAATAAGATGAGCTGGGACCCAGACTTGCGGAGCCCCGTCAGCCTCTTCATCATGGCTCTGACGTCCGGCGGCCGCTGGCTCCAGGTGGTCCTCCCACAGTCAGGGAAGGTTTTTAAAAGATAAAAACAAACACCAGAAACCACAGAACACACAGAATCTGCATTTATCATCGCTGGTTACAGTGACCCCCTGGAAAAGGAGGGTAAGCAACAGTGAGCACAGAGGTGGCGGGGCCTGAAAGGTCCCCAGGAGGTCAGGCCCTGCACTCACAGCTGCGTGGCCCCGGCAAGTCCCTCCCCTGGACCCCAGAACCCTCCTGCTGAGAGAGGCCCTGCTGAGAATTCTCACCATCCTTACAAAAAATACTGATTATTTTATTCTGCTTATAAAACACATTCAAGGCAGAAGATGCACAACATGAAAGGTAGGAAGGAGATAAACAAAACGCCCTCTGGCTCCTGGAGGTGCGCCTGGTTGGCATCATTTGACAGAAGTGAAAGGACGGCAAACACTCTCCGCACCTCAGCGCACAAACACTGTTTACGTTCTTAGGGGTCACTTCCAAGCGGTCACCAGCGAAGCCACTGCAGTGGCCCCTCCCTGGACACCTGTGGGCCGAGCCCTGTGCAGGCGCTTGGGTGCAGCGGCTCCTCTGAGCCTCCCAATCCTGAGGGACAGGCGTTGCACCCCATTTCTGGGTGAGCACCCTGAGGCGGAGCAGCTCGGGAACACCCAAGCCGGAGCGGCCAGTGGGCAGCAGGGGAGACCTCCTCCTCCGAGCCCAGCCGGAGGCTGAGTACAGCCGCCCTGACCTGGGTTCCCGCCCGGAAAGGTTCCCAGCGCTGCAGACAGGAAGGCCCTGCCCGGTGCGGGCGGTCCCCGGGGAAACACGGGGCGGCAGAGAGCAGAGCTGATGCTCAGGGTATAGGACGAGGCAGCTCCTCACGTCCCCACCTCACTCCCGGGGAGGCTGTCCCCGGCCTGCGCTCGCCCAGCAGGTCCACTGAGGCAGGCCCAGTGCCCGGTAAACACCCGGCTGCACTGACCGCTCGGGAGCAGACAAGGCTCTGGCCTAGGCGTTACTTGCCCTCTGAGCCTCGGCCTCGGCACCAGAGAGTGGGACTGCAGCATCGGGGAGACGGTGGGAGGCAGAATCAAGGGGCAGCAGCCCTGCCCGAGCGGGCAGCCCTTACCCGCTCGTGCATGGGCGAAGCCGGGCTGGAGTCCTCCGTCCCGCAGGGGGACGTGTCGCCCGTGGACACACGGCTCACCGCCATCTCCGCGTGGCCCTTGCCCTGGGGCCCCTTCATGCGCACGAACTCCATGTTGTTGTACTTGTAGAAGCCGAAGGACATCTTCTGCGCCATGCGGGCGGCCACACTCACCTGTGGGCGGCGGGAAGGCTGAGCAGGACGGTGGGCAGGGGTCCTCCCTGGGACACGAGCTGCCTGGACAGTCCTCCCTCCCGGAGCAGCCGCAGCAGGCCCAGGGCCAGGCTGGGTACAGAACTGCAGCCCAGGACCCGGCCGGCCTCCCCACACCCACCAGGCTCCAAGGAGAGCGCCTCGGCCGCCCCTGTCCCTCAGGTCAGTCCTGGGAGTTCTGCTTGCAGGGGCCGTGGGAAGGTCACCAGGGCTGGCCCTGAGCTGGGCGCGGCAGGTGCTGTGAGGAGGGCGGCCCGGTGGGCGGGGCCCGGCCGCTGCGCTCACCCGGTTGTCGTACACCTTCTTGAGCGCCTCGTAGCGGATGGAGCCCTGGAAGATGACCCCTTGGAACATGTTGGTTTTGTCACTGGCCACCAGCTCCACACAGACCATCTCTCCCTCCCCCACGGTCATGTCGCTGAACACCTGGGGGGAGCAAGCGGAGAGAAGACGCCAACTATCAGCTGCCACCCCTCACTCGCCCTGAAAACCCCATTTAGCAGTGAGAACCTGCCATACCTGTGGCCACCCAGCCCTCCCACCCTCCGCCGACCCAGCGCAGCCCAACTCGGCATGGGTGGAGGCACGCGTTTAGTTTATGGCGATAATAACAACCCTCCATTCGGGCGCCCCTCTGACCTCCGACCCCGAGGGTAAGTAGGACGATGAGCACGACTTTACAGGTGGGAGAACTGAGGCTCCCAGCTGGGGGGCACCCTTGCTCCTCGCCCAACACCGGGAAGAGGGGGGGCCACATTGGTAGAGTCCAGACCCGTCTGCTCCTAGCCCTGCCCACCCGCCTCCCGCCTTTCTGCACGGGCGTGGCTGCGGGAGCCTGTGGGAGACACGCACCTCCTCGAAGCTGTCGATCATGAAGAAGATGTTGGGGTAGCTCATCTTAGACTCCTCCCCCTTGCTGTCCATGGGGTGTTTGCTGGGGGACGCAAACACTTGCTGGAAGGAAGGAGATGGAAGGCGCAGTGAGCCCCGCACCCAGGCGAGCCTGCAAACACACCTCCCCCAGCGCCGGGCGGCCGCGGCCGCCTGGGCCCGGGCGGCGGCTCACCTGGGACTTCTTCTTGTGGATGTGGATGTCGCCCCCCTCGGAGCGCGTGCACACGGCGCAGGTCACCATGTAGTCCAGCTGGAAGAGGGGAGGGTGCGTGGAGGGCTCGGCTGCCCCTCAGGCCACCCTCCCGGCTGCTGGAGCCCGCCCCGCCGCCCCTACCTTCTGGAGGATGAGGTTCAGGCAGACGCTCTCCTCCCAGTCAATGTCAGGGTCGCCCAAGCCTGGCAGCTTCTTGGAGTCCCGCCGGTACACCTCCACCTCCACCTCCACCTCGGCCTCGGCCTCGGGCGGCTGCGAGCGCAGTGCGGAGCGAGTGGGTGCCCCTGTGCCACCGCAGGGGCAGGTTCCAGCCCTGCCTCAGCCTCTAGCTGAGACCCTGAGTCCATCAGGAGCTGAACCTCCCAGGCTGTCACCCTTTTAGGGTGAGGTGACCAGACGTCCCGTTTTTGGCGGGACAACCCCAATTTTCAACAATGTGTCCCGCGGCGTTTTAAAACAGTCCCGATTTTTGGAAAGAATCTTTGTTAAAACGCCAAGGACGCGGGACACATTGTTAGAAATCGGGACTGTCCCGCTGGTCACCTTATTTTAGGGGGCTGCACGAGGGTGGGGGAACCCAGCCTCCTGTTCCGCCCACACTCTGCTCCCCAAACCACAAGCAGACAGCCCATCCACCCAGCCACCCTCCCCCTCAGCGCAGGTAGCCCGCAGGTTGCTATGGCGACTGGCCGCTCTGCAGGCTGCAGGATGGAAGGGGCGGAAGCAGCCTGGGCTTGCCGCAGAGGACACACACTGCGCAGGCGCCCCAGAGGCCCGCAGTGCGCAGGCGCCCCAGAGGCCCGCAGTGCGCAGGCGCTGCACCTGCCAAGCTTTTCTTCCCATTCTTTTGTGTTTTTTCTTCCTATTCCTTTGTGTGTTTTTTCTTCCTATTCCTTTGTGTGTGTTTTCTTCCCATTCCTTTGTGTGTGTTTTCTTCCCATTCTTTTGAATGGGGGGGGGGGGGCAGGAAGCCACCTGGGAAGCTGCCACCCGGTTTCCCCACATCCCCTCCCGCCCGCCCTGCACCCCCTGGGCCCATGGGGCTCCGATCGCTGCCCGCCCCTGCCCTTCACACACCCACCCGGCAGCCCCTCCCGCTGCGCGCGTGCGCTCCCTCCACAGGAAGGTCTCAGCTCCCTGCGGTCCCCGCTGTCCTACAACGCGGCGGAGGCCGCCTCCTCTCTGTGGGCCCCGCCTGCCACCATCGCAGCTGTGTCCCTGGCTACGCCCTGTCCCAGCAGATGGGGGCTCCCCAAGGCCAGGGCCAGGGCTGATTCACTCTGCACACAGCTCACAGTGGGTGGTCGATGGAACATTCTAGCACACGAACAGCTGGACACAGGCTCCCATGGACTCAGGCTCCCTCGCTGACCTCACACCCCCCTCCCCCCCATCGATTTTCAGGAGCGTTTATACCGGGCTCTGCCCCCTCCTCCACAGGCCAGCGCCCTGGCCGGCGGACCTCCCTCCCCTCATCCCACCTGGCCTCTCCCCTCGCCTCCGGGAGGGAGAATGGAGGCTGAGGCGGTCAAGAACACTCCCTGGGGGGAGGGGGCGCCGGGGAGAGGTCAATGGGGGAAAAGGAGACTTATGTAATACTTTAGACAACAAAGAATTTAAACATAAAAAGATAACAATAATAACAATAACGGGATTTACGAGAAAGCTAAAACCTGAATGCTAATCTTAGCTTTGCTGCCAACTAATTGGGTTCTTTCGTGTGTGAAACGGGACCTGTGCGACTGGACTGCAAAGGCCCGTCACCACGGCCGGATCTCTTCCTCTCACGGTTAGTCTCAGCTCCAAGGCCTTTCCAGCCCAACAACGGGAGAACTCCCGGGTGGTGTATGCAGCGGGAACCGGCCGTCACCTCGCCGTGCAATTCTGGAAACTTTCATCGCTGCTTGGGAACTGGACAGTATTCAAGGCCCACAGGCCGCACGCACGCACGCACGCACGCCCCTCCCCTCACCAGAGCTGGGGCCTCGCCGGCACTGAGATTCCAGAAACAGCGGAGTGTGTCAGGGCCTAACCTTCCCCTCGGCTGCAGCGGACTGACTGCCTTTGGAAAGACCCGTCTACAATCCCAATAGGGCCAGGGTGACCCCACCGCCGGCCAATCGCTCGTTGTCTCCTGCTGCTCCCTCCAGCATCGGGCTCCGTCCGAGGCCTCCTGTCTCCCTCCTCCTCCCACGGGCTCCCGGAGCCCAAACCTCTACCTCTGTCCCTGACCTCCCAGCCGAGTTTCAGACAGCGATCCAGGCACCTCGGACCAACTCAGACCGTCCAACACCACTCCCCGCCTGCAGTGAGGGCACCACGCTCCCCTGCCCAGTCCAGTCACCCGAGGCCCTGCTGGGCTGAGCCCACGTCCTGAGCGCCAGCGGACCACCCTCCACCGCTCCCTCTCCCTGGTGCAGCCGCCAGCACCCGCCCAAGCAGCCCTGCCTCTGCCCTATCCTCCCCCGGCCACCCGCCGCCGGGCACTTGCTGGAAGGACCTCTGACCGCATCCCTTCCTCTGTCTGCGCTCCTGGGCGTGACCTGCACGGCCCTGTGCCCGGCCTGCCCCTGGGTTTCCCGAGTCCCTCTCCTCCAGGCAGCTGCCCAACACAGCGGCCCCGGACGCCGGGTCTCCGCACTGTCAGGCCCCCTGCGCTGCCGGGAACACCTTTCCCTTCAAGACGCCTCTCACCAGGCTCTGCTCCCCTTCCCTCTGGTCACTAAACATGCCAACCACGTGTATGCGCGGTCCCGGTGACAACAGCCCACAGCCAGCTGCCTGCACGCCAGCCGAATGCCGGGGACCAGGCCAGCCCCGGGGTTAGCTCTGTGCCCCGCACGTCACGAAGCCCAGCCAGACCAGCTGCATTGGCGCCGGCGTGCGGAGGGCCAGCGCGGCAAGACGTCACCGTGTCTCCTTTGCAGGGGGTGCCAGCCTGTGCGTTTGTAGAAAAGCCTCCTCTGCACGCGTCAGGCCCAAGAGCAGGCACACGGCAGGGCGAGGCCTCCAGGGGCTCCAAACACACCCCGGCTAACGGGCCCGGCCCGCAGCGGGCAGGGCCCCGGACCCAGAGCCAGGCCGGCTGCCCAGGCCCGGGCTGCTCCCCAGCCTCCCCCGTCTGTGCTTAAAAGAAAGCCAGGTCTGGCGCACAGGTGGCTTCAACATTTCAAGACGAAAGCTTCCGAAAAGGGCAGGAAACATGCAGTTCGCTGCGTTAACCCCTCCACGCACTGAAACGCGGGGACGAGAAGCCTGGGGGAGTCTGGTCCTCGGAGCGCAGCTTCTGCCCGCCGAGGCGTGGGACGAGGCCAGGAGGCGGAGCGCTCCGCTGGGCGGCCCTGGCCTGGGCTCAGTGTGCGCTCATCGCCATCACCGCCGTCACGGGCCCGGCGCCTGTCCACGGGCAGGGAGGAGCTGGACTCTGGGTCTAAGCTTCGCTCTACATCTTATTCACTAATATGGGAGGCTGGCCAAGCCACTCGCCTCCGAACCTGTTTGCTCAAAGGTACAATAATGATAACACTGCTGCCGTTCTGGGTCACGATGACGGTTAACAATAATGCATACCACCCCAGCAAGCATGTGTGGCTGTGTCCCAGGGCTCCGCACACAGTAGGTGCTCAGTGACCTCCCAGGGCTCCGCACACAGCAGGCGCTCAGTGACCTCCCAGGGCTCTGCACACAGTAGGCGCTCAGTGACCTCCCAGGGCTCCGCACACAGCAGGCGCTCAGCGGACCTCCCAGGGCTCCGCACACAGTAGGCTCTCGTGAACCTCCCAGGGCTCCGCACACAGTAGGCTCTCGTGAACCTCCCAGGGCTCCGCACACAGCAGGCGCTCAGTGACCTCCCAGGGCTCTGCACACAGCAGGCGCTCAGTGACCTCCCAGGGCTCCGCACACAGCAGGCGCTCAGTGACCTCCCAGGGCTCCGCACACAGTAGGTGCTCAGTGACCTCCCAGGGCTCCGCACACAGCAGGCGCTCAGTGACCTCGTTCCCCCTCGGACATGCACGGGGACCGCCGGGACGGCCGCCTCGCTCGCCCAGAGCAGACCCTGCGGGACCGCGGCCAGGCCGGCGAGGGCACGCACCTTCCTCCCGTCGCCCCCGCTCTCGGCGCCGGCGAACGCCAGCCTCCGGCGCACGTAGAAGAGCATGTCGTCCTGCCGCGGCGCCCACTTCTCCATGAAGTAGGTGGAGAACATCCAGGTCCAGAAGGCGATGCGGTCATCCTTCAAGCAGCCTGCAGGGGGCCAGACGGCAGTGAGGAGACGGTCAGCCTGGCCCTCGCCATGTGACCTTGGCCAGCCCTGTCCCCGGCGCCCCCTCCCTGCCCCCTCCCTGCCCCCACCCTGCATCTCTGGACAGAAATCTGCCAGGGTCTGTGCTGTCCAGAGCCCCCTTCCCCTCCTCCCCATGGGGCGGCCACTGGGGCTCAGGGACCCTCCTGGAGGCCCGACTCTCCACCCAGAGGCCCAGCGCCCAGCCCACAGCTGCGCGAACTCCAGCCCGAGGGTCAGGGTGAGTCAGCAGCGCCGTGGTGGCCGGGAAAGACCAAGGAGAGGAACCGGCAGGGGCTGGGCTGCGCTGGTGCTGGCGCTGGAGCAGGAAGGCTCTGCAGGGAGACCTTCGTCACCAGACAAGCACCACCCTCATCCCCCCACCCCAGGCTGCGGCAAGCCCCAGAGAACAGATTTAAAGGAACAGCTGCCCCTTTGCCAAGGAGTCTCGGCTGCGGGCAGAAAGCAGCGAAGCCGTGCCCGGCCCCCACCCTGCGCTGCGGCCTTTCACCAGCCGGTCTGCTCCTGCCGGGCTTCAGGGGCCCTGCTCTCTGACAAGCACTATTTCTTGAAGGCAATTCATCTGTCACAATCATCTGCCTCTGCACAAGGAGAAACGCCCCTCTCAGAGGCGGGAAACCGCTCCACGCACTCCCCCTGCGGTGACAGCAGGCACACAGCCTGGCTGATGCCCAGGCCCCCGTGTGAGTGCGGGCTGACGGAGCCCTGGGCACAGAGAGAGAGGACCAGAGCAGGCGTCTGCCTTCCTAGACAGATGCAGGAGACGGCAGGATCCGCGCCAGAGCGGCCGCGTGAACTCAGGGCATCCTCGCTGCTGGTTCCTTTCTCCCTGGCCCAGCAGAGCCAGCCCCGTTGGCGCCTCGGGCCTACTCGGTGCAGGAAGGGCCTGACCTAACCCTGCACATACAGACGGGAACCATGCCACGTGGGGACCTCCCTCACCCTCACAGGCAGTGCAGTGGCCCGACCAGGACTGCAGCTGCCCTGGGGGTCAGCCACCAGGCTCTGGAAGGCTGAGCCACATGCAGAAACCCCGGCCTCAGTTTACCTCAGCCACAGCGCGCCAGTGACCCAGGCTCCCACCAGCTCCCTCCCCCGCAACTCTGCTCAGGGAGGAAACGAGGGGTCTTCTCGGGCAGAGTCTAGGTCAGCCTGATCAACATCAACGCAGCCTGTCAGCCGGGGGGGCGGGGAGCAAAGGCGGAGCCTCAGGCACCAGGGGGACCAGGCGGGCTGTCTGCACCACGGATCTGAAATTCCTGCCACATTTCCACAACAGGCAACGCCTGGCTCACGCCTCTGCAGACCCCTGCGAGGTTAAGCAAAGGCACTGTGCTTACCTATACATATAAAGGGCTAATATACAAAGTGTCCCCTCGGGAGTTCGACCTGGAGTTCGATTGCTTGCTATGATGTGCGCTGACCACCAGGGGGCAGCACGGAATGAAGGAAGGCCCCAGTGGCCCTGCTCGCCGGCCAGGCCTAGGGACCCTAGCCATACACGAATTCATGCCCTGCGCCTCCAATGCCTGGGTAAAACCCGCACTCCTGCCGGCCGGTGTGGCTCAGTGGTCGAGCACTGACCCATGGACCAGGAGGTCACGTTTCGATTCCCCGTCAGGGTACATGCCCAGGTTGCAGGTTCAATCCCCAGTCGGGAGAGTGTAGGAGGCAACCAATTGGTGTTTTTCTCTCTTTCTCCCTCTCCCTTCCCCTCTTTCTCAAGTTAATAAAAACATATATTTTTTATAAATGCAAGAAGAAACAGCACAAACATCAAGAGCTGCCCTCCTGAACATTCAAAGCTTCATGCCCAAGAAAGCAAAAGGAAGAGGGAAACCAACACATGAGCGAGGCCGTACAGAAAGAGGTCACATCACAGCCGTTATGAAAGAAAGTGCGTAACTCCCATGGACAAATGTGTGAACTGCCCACACAGGGAACAGACCAAGAGGGAAATACAAGTGCTTACCCAAAATGTGGGAAAATACTCATCTCCCGAGTAATCAAAATTTCATATTAAAAGAACAGGTGGTCATTTTAAGAGGGCAAATTTGATAGTATTTATTTTTAATTTTAAAAAATATATATTTTTATTGATTTCGGAGATGAAGGGGGAGAGAGAGAGAGAGAGAGAGAGAGAGAGAGAGAGAGAGAGAGAGGGAGGGAGGGAGGGAGGGAGGGAGGGAGGGAGGGAAAGAGAGGGAGAGAAACATCAATGATGAGAGAGAATCATGGATCAGCTGCCTCCTGCACACCCCACACTGGAGATCGAGCCCACAACCTGAGTATGTGCCCTGACTGGAATTCGAATTGTGACCTCCTGGTTCACAGATGGATGCTCAACCCCTGAGCCATGCCAGCCGGGCCCAATCTGGTGGTATTAGAAAACACCGCTCAGGAAAAGGGCAGATTCTCACAAGCTAACCATAGTGACCACCGATGTGCCCCCTCTAGGCGCTTACCCCAAAGAAATGAAGCCTGTGCCTACCACATGGGTACCCACACGTTCCTGAAAGCTTTGTTCATAACAGTCCTGAACTGGGAACCAGAACAGACACACGAAATGTGACACGGCCCACCCATGGGAGATCACGGGCAATACAAGCAAACCGCTGCCCCACCGCACAGCGGATAAACCTCAAACCCGTCCTGCTGAGCAGGGGCCCTCAAAGGCTGCGCACTGTCAGGTGGCAGCCAGTGATGTTCCGGAAAGACAGCCAGAGTGACAAGAGCACGGCAGCTTCTGATGGCGGTGGGTCTCACAGGCTCCCGCCGCCATCCCCCGGCTCCCTCTCCGGTGGGTGCAGTTATCTTACACAAACCAGACTCTACTGAAGGTGATAAAGCATGGAAATTATGGAAGCTGGCAAGGGGGCATGAGCTGGGAACTCTCATATGTGCAAGAGAACAAAAATCATTATATTCTTGGTGACAATCAAATGAGCACTCTCCTATTTCTAGGACTCTGTCTTATGGAACAGAAACAAAGCCCGACGCACATTTCTGCGTTATAATGACCGCGCCGCGCCATGGGTCCGGGACGGCCTGCCTGCCCCTTTCCGTGTCTCTGTCGGGGTGTGGCCTGCTTGGAGGCGGCCACTGGATCCCCAACTCCCCAAGGTCGCGTGGCGCAGTGACTGTGTGTGCATAAACACACGAGGGGTGACTGGACCCTGCGTGGCCTGGGAATCAGTGCTGTCTTTCTCCCACAGGTAAACCCTTCTCCGAGGCCTGACCAGCAGGCGGCCCCCTGGGGGCCGGCCCTGGAGCTGCCTCGCCGGCAGAGCTCCCCCATCTGCAGACGCCCTCTGCCCCGTCTGCCTGACCCCGGCCTCGGGCAGAGGGTCTCCTGGCCCCGGAGCCAGTGGGTCCAGTGGAGGACGTGGCCAGTCTGGACGCCGAGCCGCTGGCTGGGGCAGCACCATGGACAGCTCCACGCCGCAGGCCTGCCTCCCCGGCTGGCCCGGGTCCCAGGAATCAGCCTTTTCCAGTCCCTTCTCATTCCTGGAGGTTCTGTTGGATCACGTGGCCACAAAGGCTGCATTAGCCAACACCAAACACACCAGAGCCACGTGGAGAAATGCAGGGCTGGTTCCTTCAAGCCTCTGGTCACAGAATGCTCTGTCCGCCAACCAGCACGTGACCCGGCTTTCTGTGTGTCTGAACAAAGGCGCCTTCTTTAGCATCCGGCTGGCTCACTGACACCCAGCTCCAGCCAACGGCCATCACCGGCCTGGATGAGGTCAGCCGACCTGCATCGCCCCCACAAGCCCCTAGCAGCCTCGGCTTGCCGGGGGCCGGCCAGCGCCTTAGCACTGTGCTTGGGGCCGGTTCAAACGGCAAGTCACCGCCACAAAGCACACAAATGCACTAAGGCCGTGGTCGGCAAACTGCGGCTCGCGAGCCACATGCGGCTCTTTGGACCCTTGAGTGTGGCTCTTCCACAAAATGCCACGAGGGAATGTGAGCGCCACGAAGTCTGAATACCTTTCCTCTGCTTTTGTTCCCGGGTGAGTTCTCCGTCCCTAGCCCGCTGTCTGGCCCGCAGGAAACAGGAAGTCCTGGCTGGGTGCACGGATAATGAAGTGAGCTCAGTGATTAACCACAGCGAGGGGTACTGGCCCGTCATTACACTGATCAATGGGACCGAGAGTAAAGGCCAGAAATAGAACTAAAACACGTGGTCACCTAATTCACACAAAGACGCCGCGTCAGCTGGCTGAGAGGAAGGTGACTGTGGTTACTTCGCACTGGACAGCAGGGAACTGAGGAGAGAGGCTGAGTCCTGCTCAGGCCTACACAAACCCAAGGAGATCGCAACTTTTAAACGTTACGACTAAAACCATTTAAAAAATAAGCCATGAGTGAATGTTTCTATCCTCTCAGAGAAAAGCCTTTCTAGGTAAAGCACAAAAGCCATTAAAGAAAACAATGGTAAGCCACATGAGAAATCTCTACAGAGATAAAAACCCACACACCATGAACGGGGAAATGCGGAAACCCTTCGTGAGGGCTGAGCGCCTTAACAGCACCCCATTCCATACCACGCCTGAGAGCACGGAGCAGAGTGAAAGCAGAGAGGCACACGAGGGCTTTTACAACAGGAGCCACGCTCACCGTCCTACAACTAGAGAAATGTAAAGGAAAACTATTTTTCCCCCTCCCCAAACACCTGACCACACTCCAGGTTCAAGAGGGCGTGAATGGACTGGATGTCACACCTGACAGTGGAAGGTGGACTGATAAAATCCCTATGGAGCGCTAGCTGGTGTGGTTCAGTGGTTAGAGCACTGACTGGCCTGCACATCGAAGGGTTTGATTCCTAGTCAAGGGCATGTACGTGTTTTTCTGGGGAGGGAGGAGAAAATGGTGGTCAAATAGGCAGATCTTTCTTGCACCTTCTCGCAAGGACAGACTGGAAATGAACTAAAGTGGAGAA